AAAGTTATATGTTTGAATGAACCTTAAGAACATTCTACGAATGAATGAAAAAATAATTATCGGTTACAACGAAAGCGTGCAGTCGCTTGTGATCAATATTCTTTTGTAATTAAACGACTTTTGTTGTTGTTTTTGTTGACACTTTGTAATTGTAACTTTATTTTGCTATGCGATTTATATATAAGGAAAATTAATATTAATTATAAAATTGAACTCATAGTAAATGTGCAATATGAAATCTATGAGGTCGTGTTTACTGTTTTCAAAACCTTTTCTATTTTCCATTTTTAAAACATTTCTTTTGGGACGTCAAGCAGAATTTTAATAATAATTAGAAGTAGAACATAAATCGCTTTGTTACTTTAAAAAACTCTGCACACCAAAGCCAATAATCTCCAACTTTCAGTTTTGCTTTTAAATAGATAATCAAAATACGTTTGTCTTTGAGAAATGCGTTATTGATTTAGTTGTTTTCTCGATTTGCTCGTCTATCAAAAAAGAAATCCATTTACACCAGTGAAAAATAAATATATATTCCAATGAATACTTTTAAAATGAAAGTGGCAAATATATATTAAGATTAAAGATAAATCAAATATATAATTCTTAATAATAACTAATTAATATACACTGATTAAAGTAATATAAAAATATACAATTTTTTATATGCCTTTGGAAATCAGAGTTTAATTTGTTGTGTTGTTGTGAAGCCACATTTCATTTTGTGTTGATTTCATACTCATCTTCAATAAATGTTACAGACGATATTTTTATTTTATTTTTGGCGCTTTCCAATGCGCTGAAGTGGAGTAGAAGAGGAAAGAAGATGAGAAAATGACCCCAAGCATTCCCGGAACACTATTAAATCTCAGGAGGGAAGGGGGGGGGAGAAGGTGGAGTGGGGAAATATTTTGACAAATTCCCAATTTCATCAAAACGCTGTATCAAATTTGTTCCTGGTTAATACCCTATATATATATATATATATATATATATATATATATATATATATATAGGGTATATATATATATATATATATATATATATATATATATATATATATATATATATATATATATATATATATATATATATACATATACATATACATATACATATACATATATATATATATATATATATATATATATATATATATATATATATATATATGTATATATATATATATATATATATATATATATATATATATATATATATATATATATATATATATATATATATATATATATATATATATATATATATATATATATATATATATATATATATATATATATATATATATATATATATATATATATAGGGATTGTAGTCCCGTACTACTGGTAAATCTGTAACCTTTATTCTGGTAAAATTACTGGTAAATTGCAATAATTTACCAGTACTTTGCCAGTTTTTTGTACGGATTGTCTCAGTACTATTTATAATGTTTGCGGGTTATACTTTTAAATAATAAAGTAATAAAAATATAAAATATCTCAATTGAGTTGTAAATAAAGTATACTTGAAATATCGTAATTGAAAGTTGAATAAGGTAGCAACAGAATAATTTAATTTAATTTTAAGTGAGGTGGGTATAAAATATTGTAATTGGGTGTTGTATAAAGTGAGCAAGAAAAATTTTATTAAAAGTTAAATTAGCTTTTTGGTTTTTTTGCTGTTTTTTTTTATGTCCATAATATTGCATGTAGAAACCTTGCTAAGTTAATTTTATTAACTTATCAATATTTATTAGACAAGTTTGCTGAAATATTCAGTTGAACGGTTTATTGTTTGTCTTTATGTCTTTAGGTTAAAAGTTTAACAAAGTAAAAATTTAAATAGGTTTAAGTGCAGGTGAAATAATGTTTAGTTTTTGACAAAATACTTTGATTCAAAGTTGGATAAATTTAAAGGATCTTTTAAGTATTTGTTTTCTGGTCGATGGTATTGCATTTATTGGTATTGCTATAAATATAACATTATAAGGCATTATATGTGATGTTGTCGACAAGAGAGCAGATACTTGAGATTGTGCAAAAAATGTGAAAAACGGATAAGAGTGAGATTTGTCAGTAAATAGCTATTTTTACCGGTTTAAAATTTTTTTAAGTAATATGCATTTTTTTATTATGTTTAAATAATTTGTATTGGCTAGTGTACAATATATTGCTCACCAATATACAAATTATATTTTGCTTAGGAAATAAGATTTTGAATAGTTTAAGTTTTTTAAGAAGTTAAAAAAAAAAAATGTTCTTAATAAAAATGGTATTACGTCTTTTATTTTTAATTATCATTTGCTAAACTAGCAGGGGCACCTGCTGTACCTTAGATAATTATTTTATTTTGGACAAGACCTTTTGTGTGATCTTAGCTACATTTTTTATGAAATCCTTATGTTATTTCCCAGACTTTTTGCTATTCCAGATAGCGGGAATTATTTGCAGTGTTCCTGGGATCTCAGGAAAATCCCCGGAACGCTCATTTAAATAAAAAACAAATAAATAAAAATTTTATTATTTTCTTTTTACTTTATTTTTAAAACTATTTTTGTGATTTAAAGTGACCTTTTAGAAAAACCAGTAGATCCAGATGACTGTCTGATAATCTAGTTTTAAGCTTTGTAAAAAATAAATCTTTTATTTTAAAACTGGAGGGTCAAATAGTTAAAAGTGCATTTTAAAGCATATCTAAAGTGATTATAAAGTGATCTTTTGTTAGTTGCCTCAAACAAATTGAATTCTTGATGCATAGTTGACCTTCAATTGACTACAAAGTTGTCTTTTTTTTTCACAAACTATTCTAATCTTTCAGCCTTACATTCCGATGACTTTTTTAAACTGACATTGCTATTGTTAAGCTTATCATTAATCATAATATTGTCAAGGTTATCATTATCATTAGTTTTATCTCCTACTTTTAGTATATTTTCAAATATGGGGAAAAGTCTCTCAGTTAATTCAATAGCTATATTTATTATCTCTGTTTTAGATGGTATGCAAAATAAGTTATTATGCATCACTTTTTAAAGACTGTGTACTATCTAAAAACCTTAAAAAACCAACAAAGTATTTTTTTCTTTGAAATTTCAACTAGAACATTCTTAAGATTAATAAATATTGAAGTTTTTTTTAATAATAAAGTTTTTTAATGTATCATCAGCTGTTAGTAATGTTGCTTCCCGTCTACAAATCAATACAGAACATAAAACAATTAGCTCAAGACATTTTGCTAAACTTTCAAATACTTCCAGTTTCAAATTATCCATTTTTAAAGGAGATCTTTTGAAAGTTACAACAATTTTACAAACTTTAACCAGAACCTTATAAAGATCAGGGACGAGATCAGCAAGATCAGATGAGCTTGGTAACTAATTTCATTTTCATCCTTATTATTATTTTCATCATCAAAAACATCAAAATCATTTTCAATATCTTCTTTATTAGAAATCTGATTATTTTCAACTTTCTTTTAATAAATTATATCACGTACAGCTAAATATATTACATGGGCAAAATAAAGTTGATATTCAGCAGGAGAAATATTTTCTAATTTTCCATAGTGGAAATACCATCTGCTGTTAAGCATCACTGAAAACATCACTGAAAAGACTAACAATAAGATTTATATTCATAAACCTTCTGCCATATTTTGAATATTCATCCAAATCTACACTGAACTTGAATTTTTTATTTTATTTTAAGTATTTTTCTTTTTTTTTTTTTTTCATATAATACTATTTCAGTATAATATTTATAGATAAGATTCATGATATCTGTTTTAGATTTTGGTAGATTGTAGCCTTTATCATGAAGCGACTCATGAATTTGATCTGATTCAGCTATTGTGCATATGGAAAATCCAACAATAGCAGCAAATTTTGCCAATTGTTCTCCTAAAGAAACTTTTTAAATTATAGAATCAATTTTAGATTGAACAAAACGTTATTTATTTGGCGGTTCATCTTCACATTCTTTAAAATAATATTGTGGAACCGCGTTTGCATAACATTAATTTTGAACATGGTTTGTCCGAAATTAATATGCAAACGCGTTTATTTATATGTTTTATTTAAATAAAAATATTGACTGATAGAAAAGCTAGCTTCAGTAAAACAAATAAATTGCTTGCTAAATTGTTAAGAGAATATTAAAGAGAATCCTCTTTTTTACTATGATACTATTTCTAGCTTTACTTAAACAAGCAGTTTAAGAGAGGGGGTATTTTAAGAGTTAACTTTCTCACTATATACTGACACTAAGAAATTGGATGAGAGTTTCTCTAACAGATGCAGGGATGCAGGGTCCTAAAAAGAAAACAGCTTTAAATCTCTATTTTTTCTTTGTCTCTAGTGTCCAAGAAGCTCTAAAAATGTTGGATAACTTATGATCTGCAAAAAGAAAAAAATTCATGAGAATTAATGTATTGGATTTTTTCACCCCAGAGTTCTGGAGCCACCACTATACATACAGACTCAAAAAAAACCAGGAAGAAATAATCTATTTTTGACTTTCAAATTTGGAGTCCTTTTTGGGACTTTGCATCCCTGAAAAGATGGATTGGAAGGAGAAATTAACAGCAGAAACAATAATGGATCTATAACAAAAAAATTTTATTTATTTTAATGATAAAAAATTGATAAAATTTTTTTCTATTGGAGTAAGGTTTGAATTTGTTGAATTCTGGCATCTAAAAAAAAAAAGTTTTTAGTTAGTCAAAATAATTTGCAAAACAAATAGTGGGTTTTGAGGTGCTAAACATAAAAACTACATAACTTTATACATAATATGTATAAAGTTTTTATTTAAATTTTTACTTAAATATTGTAATGTAAGACTACTGTAAGTTTGGTAAAATTATTTTCAAAAATCATTTAAACATTCAATTTTTTTTTTTCACAAAAACAATGTTTTCCTTAATTTTTCAATGGTTCAATTTTATTGGTAACATTCTCACTAATGTTTTTATATTTTTAAATAGGATTTTATATTTAGGTATTCCTATTAGAACAACACTGGACAACTCTACTACTGTTCAATATGCAGGGCTTATTCATCAATTAACAGCTAAAGCAAGAAGTACTGTGCGTGATATTGATCCTCAAGTAAGAAATTGTTAATCATTGCTGTTTAATCTTAAGTTAAGGTCTTGCGTTATTGTTCACATAAAAAAATTTATCAAGACAGTTTGAACTGAAGAGTGGATTATAATTAAGTTCTAACTTTTTAAATCTTTATTTCGAAGTGAGGTTTATATTTAATACAATTAAAACTTAATGAAATTTATTTGGCAATTATATTGCGTAAAACCAAAAACAATTTTATAAGATTAAACTATAATTAAAAAGATAGGGTTAAACCCAAAGGCAAGTTTTATGATGAAAAAAAAATTAATTTTTTTTATCTAATTTTAATTTAAATCTGATATATGCCTTTGCATGTAAATGTCTTGTAAGATTATGTAAGTACTTGTAAATGGCTATTTCAGTATGATATCAGTATTCTTTCATGCAAGGCTAAGTATGCAAAAAAATTTGGATGTTTGATGGTGTTTCATACAAGAGTAAGTAAAGAATATATGAATATATATATATATATATATATATATATATATATATATATATATATATATATATATATATATATATATATATATATATATATATATATATATATATAAATTCACCTTCCCAAGGCTGAGATGGCCACGACAGTCGAGGATGCTACTCTAGTTGTGGTTACAAGCGTTGAGCGTGGTACTACTAGTGATGTGGTGGGGATTGATATATATACACACACACATATATATATATATATATATATACATATATATATATATATATATACATATATATATATATATATATATATATATATATATATATATATATATATATATATATATATATATATATATATATATATATATATATATATATATATATATATATATATATATATATATATATATATATATATATATATAATATATATATATATATATATATATATATATATAATATATATATATATATATATATATATATATATATATATATATATATATATATATATATATGCTATAATTTGTTTGGTTTAGAATGATTTGACTTTCTTACGAATTCGATCAAAGAAGCACGAAATAATGGTTGCCCCAGGTCAATAGATTTGACCTGGGGCAACCATTATTTCCCCAGGTTACAACTAGAGTAGCAACCATGCTACTCTAGTTGTAACCACAACTAGAGTAGCATGGTTGCTACTCTAGTTGTGGTTACAAGCGTTGAGCGTGGTACTACTAGGGATGTGGTGGGGATTGATATATATACACACACACATATATATATATATATATATATATATATATATATATATATATATATATATATATATATATATATATATATATATATATATATAATATATATATATATATATATATATATATATATATATATATATATATATATATATATATATATATATATATATATATATATATATATATATATATATATATATATATATATATATATATATATATATATATATATATATATATATATATATATATGCTATAATTTGTTTGGTTTAGAATGATTTGACTTTCTTACGAATTCGATCAAAGAAGCACGAAATAATGGTTGCCCCAGGTCATTTTTTGTTGTTTTATGAAACTTTTTTTCAATGGAACTTTCTTTAAATTTTAAAGAATAAAATAGTTCTGTTTTTTATTTTTTTAATTTTATTTTTATTTTAGAGAAAGAGTATATGCTAATTGTTATTCAAAACCCTGGCATTGCTGAGCGAAGTAGCTAACATGCTAAAGAATAGTTTTTTTGTAATTTTGTTCAAACTTGTATATGATATTATGATTTTAAAAATGGCTTAATTTAGAAATTCTCTTTGTATTCACTATTATGTTATAAATATTTATGCTTGTAAATAATTTTACTTGTAATTTGTAACTAAAAAATATATTTTAAAATATATTTAAATTTTTAATGAAGCTCCTAATGTTTTATAAATATACATTTGGGTTCATTAATTATTGTATCATTTTAGTTAAGTTGATTATTTTATTATTTATTTTTTGTTGATGTATAATTTGCGGCATGGGCAGTTCAAGTGTTCTCAGGTTTCTTTTTTTTTCAGAACGTTAGGGGAAAAATTGGAAATTAATAGGTAAAACTAGCTGAAGCTTAGTTATTTGCGAATTGAATGTGTTTAAAATTTGAAAAAAGTAAAAAAGAAAATCAAATAAGAGGATGGTTGTAAAGTTAAAGATATGTATGATAACATGAAGTATATATAATATAAGGAAAATGTTTAAACAAGAGCAGATGTTTAGGAAGTTATAAAAAATAAGAGGAAGTTTTTTAACTTTTATATGAAGTCTCAGCAAATAGAGAGAAAGGTTTCAATGTTGCTTGAATAAAGAATTTTTAAAATTAAATGTAGGAAAAATGGATTATTAAAGTTGAGTGTTGGAAAAATGGGTTCTAATAATAAGTGTTTAAACTGTAAGTATTTTTTTTTATCATTAAATAAAAAAATTGAATGTTCAAGTAAGTTTTTTATTATTGGATCAGCATAAATAAACAATACTATAATTTTTTTTTTTCATTATTTTAACAAATAATTCAATATATATATATATATATATATATATATATATATATATATATATATATATATATATATATATATATATATATATATATATATATATATATATATATATATATATATATATATATAAGTATATCTGTGTTTAAAGAAATATTTTTTTAATCAAATAAAAATTTGTTTATATCATTTTGTTAATTTTATTTTAAGCATATTTAAATATTTTATAACGGTATGCTTTCTGGTTCTAATAATATGCTTCCTGGTCATAACGGTATGCTTCCTGGTTCTAATGGTATGCTTCCTGGTCTTTTGTTTGTTTTAGTTTTGATTATTTTTATAATACAGATCTGGAAATTTTACAAAAGAGAAGTTGTAAAAACCACCAATGAACTATGTGAATCATCTGATTGCATAAGATGCTGTAAAAATGTATTTATCATTGAACAAGCACAAAGCATCTTTCAAAAAACATATTCTAAAAATAAAAATCTCAAAAGAATTGAAGCTGCAATTTTTTCTTCATTGACTAAATCAAAATATGTCCTGTATGTTGAGAATTTAAAAGCATGTAGTGTATGGTCTATTGAAGATTTGCCAGATTCCTATAGATCTGATATTAAAAAATTAGAAGAAAATGCAATGTATTTTTTGCAGGAATATTATTTGTTAGAAGATTCCAATAACAAATATGTATCTTCTCAATGGTCCAAAATTTTTTTATATAATCAAGGTGTTCAAAATTTAAAAATGACAAACTTTTTTCAAAAAACTTCTTCCATATTAAAACAATGCAAAAATATTCTTGAGGGTTGTTTTTTTGGTTATTCTTTTTTTTCTATTGTTTATCCAAATACATTCATAGCTGAACATACAGGACCAACAAATACTAGACTTCGTTGTCAGGTGGCATTATCTATTCCTAAACTAGAGCTAGGTGATAAATGTGAACTTATTGTAGCTGGAAAAAAAGTAGAATGGGAATCCGGCAAAGCAGCTTTGTTTGATGACAGTTTTTTGCATTCTGTGCAATATACTTCAAAAAGTAGACTAAAAAGTCGAATCTTGTTAATTGTTGATTTTTGGCACCCAGATCTTAAGCTTGAAGAAAGATTGTGCATACAAAAATGTTATAGTTAAATGAAGTTCTTTTTTTGAATTTTATTTTTACTTAGTATGAATGGTTTGAGTTGATAGTTGTTGTTTTTATGCTGCTGTTTTTTTTTTTAGTAGAAAATATTCATCTAAGTATAAAAAAATGGTTTATATAAATTCCAAAACTAGAAATGAATAATTGATTTTATTTAAATAGATAAGTTATCTTAAAAATTAATAGAGTAATATATTTAATTCTTTGAAAATAAATGAAAATACAATGTTTAATGGGTACATGTCTGATTTTTTTCGTGTGTTATAAGTGCTTTCATTAATTTTTTTTTAGTTAATAAAATATAATTTTATTTACATTTTATATTTACAACAAAATAAAATAAAAACAGTAATTTTTTTTTTTTAATTTCTTTCTGTGCAGTTTAACTTATTTTAAAATAGAAAGTTTCTAATTACCAATGAAAAAATAGAACTCTATTCATTACCAATGAAAAGGAAATATGTCACATACTTTATCTAAGTATTCATCCATTGGATTTGAAAGATATGATGATTTTCATGGTTAGTTGTTTTATAATTATCTAATTTTATAATTTGAAGTGTATTGAAATACATTTACAAGGTTCTAAAATCTTAATCTTTATAGTTAAGAATATTCAACTTTATTACAGGTTTTTTAAATTTTTATACTTTTTTAACAATTAGATGATTTTTTATCATGTTCATCAAGTTCTTCATCATCTTTTATGGACTTGGCTCCTGCGATCGACTATCAACCAGCAAATCATATGATGCTTGTCTCATTACTTGAACATATTTGCACATTTTATTGTACAAATGAAGAATCAAGTAGGGAGTTGTTTAAGTGTAAGTATGTATTAGTATCTAATATGATAATCTAGAAATTTTGAAATCATTGATGTATGACACTTGTCAATCATCAAGAACATTTCTTTTAAGTATAAACTTTTAAGTGAAAAATAAATAAAAATGTAAATAACTTCAAAACAATTTTCCAATAATGGAAAACTTTAAACTTTTTTAAATATAATTATAAGGTTATATAAAATTATTTTTATAATTCATTTGTTACAGAGAACATTAGTTTGTGCTATTGCTAGGGCTGGTAAATTGGGGTGGTTGCTAGGGTTGGTAAATTGATTTGTATTTTAAATTAATAGAGTAATAATTTTCAATGAAAATCAATGAGTTTCACTTAATTTTTTAAAATAATATTTTTACTATTTAAAACATTGCTACTTAGGATTTTATTTGTTGTTTTTTTTCATCAGATCTTAAAAAACAAAAATTATTAGCAGCGATTAACACCAGATCACTTGATTAAAGTTGATCAGCATTTGTTATTGTCCTCATCAAGATCAAAATCAGTTTGTTCATTCTCATTCCTCTCATCATTGGTAGTTTCTCTCAGGTTGTTTCAATTGTTTAACTTTTTGTTATAAGGAAAATCACATAGTACAAGATGAATTCCATGGCAATAACAAAGTTGGTGAGTAATACCTATTTCATGTTCCATTTTTTTCATAACTAATCAGAAAAACACCCAAATACGTAAATGATCAAATTCAAACTAAAATCATTTACTTGTCAATAACAACAATAATTGCTCTTTGATGATGAGTTGTTGAATCATTCTAATCATTTAAGGATCTTAGTTACATTTAGTTCTAAATCCACCTAGTCAGCACTCTTTTTGTAAAATACACCATCATATTTGAAATATGTATAACTAACCATTTGTTTGAACCCTATCAGCAACTTCAATCTTGAACTTTTTGTTAAATAAAGAAATCAAAATAATTTGATTACAGTTTTTTTTTAAAAGTCATTCCATATAAAGCATATAAATAAGCATTCCATATAAAGCATATAACACAGTCTAATTTTTAGAAGTCATTCCATATAAAGCATATAAATAAGCATTCCATATAAAGCAAATAACACAGTCTAATTTTTTTAAAATTTTCGTGTGTTTCTAAACTTTTTTGATAACTAAATAATAATGAACTCATTGTGTTGCCAAACTTTTTTGACAACCAAATAATTATGAAGTCATTGTGTTGCTAAACTTTTTTGACAACCAAATAATAATGAACTCATTGTGTTGCCAAACTTTTTTGACAACCAAATATTAATGAACTCATTGTGTTGCCAAATTTTTTTTGAATGTTATTTTTTAAGTGTACAGTGTGGATACAAAACAACTTCTTTAATTAAAACATTTTTGACATTTTCATTTAAAGGTCTTGTTAATTACAAAGCTTGCATTTTTCATACGAAACAACAATTTACATACTCATTCAGCAATTTTAGGTTAAACCAAAAACCTTTTTTTTTTGTAATATTTAAATATTGTTTTATTTAGATGGCATTTATTATAAGGTCAAAAAAAAAGCACTTTAACTAATTTAAATATCAAAGCTGTGTTAAAGCTGCATTTCCTTGTGCAAAAAAAAAAGGTTTATATTTAATTTTTATACTTAAGTATTGAATAAAGAAAAATTGCCTTCACTCGAACTTATTTCTCATTTTAACCAAAATTTAATTTAATTATCAAATGGAAATTCCCTTTAGTTAAACATTCATAAAGTCAAACTACTTTCCCTTGGAGGTTCAAGTTATTGGGAATTAAGTGTGTATATATATATATATATATATATATATATATATATATATATATATATATATATATATATATATATATATATATATATATATATATATATAATAGGGTCTATTATAATAATAATAGGGCCTGCTAATTTTTGTAATTATAGTTGCGGGTGGAAGACATTGTTCAATCCATAAAAGTAAATACTTTCCTAAATACACACTTATATATATATATATAAACTTTTATATTTATTTATTTATTTATACACTTATATATATATATATATATATATATATATATATATATATATATATATATATACACTTATATATATATATAAACTTATATATATATATATATATATATATATATATATATATATATATATATACACTTTTGTCCGTTGTGTATATATATATATAAGTGTATATATATATACACTTATATATATATATATATATACACTTTTGTCCGTTATTATTTCTCTGTAAAGACTTCTATTTTTTAATATTTATTTCAGAGTTTTATTATTGTAAAATAATCTTTTGAAAATGTAAATAAAATTTTACGAAACATGTCAAGAATGAAAAAACATCGTGTTATATATATATATATATATATATATATATATATATATATATATATATATATATATATATATATATATATATATATATATATTGTGTTATATATATATATATATATATATATATATATATATATATATATATATATATATATATATATGTATATATATATATAGTTTTTTTTTTTAATATTCAAATAAATTTTTTTGTTCATACTTGTTGAGTATTACTGTAGTTTTTTTTTTCTTCCTAGTTGTTTGTGAACATTTATCAAGAATGAAGGTAAAGAAGTCTTAATATTAAATTTCTTTTTTGTTCATTTTAAAAAAAAATTCACTTTTTTTTCTTAAAATTTTAATACATACAATTCAAGTCATCAAAAAAAATTCACTTTTTTTTGATGATTTGAATTGTATGTATTAAAATTTTTAATGAATTTTAGATAAGGATAAAGTACCATGATAGACTCTTTGTATTTTTCTTTTGTATCTTTGACTCCATAATAAACTTTTTGTATTTTATGTTAAGCCTAAATTCTAAGATAAATTCACATTAGGGTAAACCCTTAAATAATAGAATCAAGTTTATATGTAGACAAGTTATTTAAGAATTAGTTTTTTTCAAGTTTTTTAATATATTTTGGTGCAGTTTTAATTAACTTTATTTTAAAATAACAGTTTCAAACAGTAGCAATTTTTGATTAACTTTGACCTTCAGAAATGCTGACACAAAAGCTAACTTATCTTTGCTTTATGACGCCATATAATTTATTGTGTTTTTTCAAGTTTGACAAGTTTTATTTAAAAAAAAATTCATTCATTTTTTTTATTTCTTTTTTTGTTTTTTTTTTCAAATTTATTCAAGTATAGCTATTGATTCATTTAAAAGTTAATAAAAATTACTTTTCAAATGTTTTTTGTCCACAAGCTTTCAACCCTCGGAATTAAGGTTGGCATTTGTCAATGTAGACCTAACTGCTGACCTGAAAGTGTTTGAGGTTCGCAATTTTTTGCCGACCTCGTTTCTATTTTTTATGGTCAGACCTTTGTATCAAATAATTTTTGCCGACCTCAAATAGATAGAGGTCGGCAAATATTGCTGACCTCATTTCCGAGAGTTGAGCAATAGTGAATTACAGCGCAATTATTTCTTTATCAAGTTTTAAAATCTAATATTAATTTATATTATTAGTCAAAAACGTTCATTTACATTTTTTAATATTATTTAAAATAAAGAAGTTGAGTTTAGTCTTGGTTTAGTTATGTAAACATGAAGAAGAAACATGTTAATTATACTGTTAAACACGCGAAGAAGAAACATGTTAATTGTATCATTAAACACATGTGAAGAAGAAACATGTTAATTATACCGTTAAACACACAAAGAAGAAACATGTTAATTATACTGTTAAACACATGTGAAGAAGAATCATGTTAATTATACCGTTAAACACATGTGAAGAAGAAACATGTTAATTATACTGTTAAACACATGTGAAAAAAAATACATGTTAATTATACAATTAAACACATGTGAAGAAGAAACATGTTAATTATACCATTAAACCTTTTTTTTTAATTTAATAAAAAGTTGAGGTTTTCAGTAAATCCATTCAAAATAAGAAATGCAAGAGTGTTACACAAAGCTAACTCCAAACAAATCATAATGTCTAACAGAACTGTAATCAAAAAATGGGGGTTTAAATCCTGCAGCTTTTAAACAAATGATTCAAATTAAGTAACTTTAATTTGGCGTAAAACTTGGCGAGAATATTCAAAGCTTTTGAAAATTGTGACAATAAAAATAAGGCTGTGCTAAACATTCTTTATAAATGCCCTTCATGTGTTTTTAAAGGGTCAGATCATTTATTTAGATAAAGTTATAAGTTCATACTATGGTACTATTTGTTTTGGTTACCAGCTCTTTTCATTTTACAATAGTGTCATTAGAAATGAAGAGGTGTAAGATTTGTATTTAAATGTCATTATTTCTATCATGAGATATTTTACATAAAAGTTTCACATTTTTAATTGTTTTTTTAAGTATGTAAATATATTTAATTTTTTTGATCATATATTTTTATCAGATTATTATCCAATATTGCTAGATATTATCATTGTTTAAAATTATTAAAAATACTTGATTTTGTTTTAAATATTTTAAAAACTTTTATGTGTTTATATTATAATATTTATATATTATAAATGTATATTTATATATATATTATAAATGGTGTGTGTGTGTGTGGGGGGGGGATAGGGGGAAAATTTAAACATTTGCAAAAGTTCTAACAAAAATATATTTGAAAGCTTTATGTGTTGTTTCTTGAAAGTTTTATGTGTTTGTTCTAATCAAAATATATTTGAAAGTTTTATGTGATGTAAATGGTATTAAGCGTGGTATTGAGAGCAAACATTCACATTCGCATTCTTCATAAATTTTTTTTTTTAAAAAGCCTCATTTTTTTTAAGCTGTTGATTTTATAATTTAGAAAAATGGTTCTGTTAGATAATAGCTGATTTTCTCATACAGAATAACTTGTTTTGTTACATAGTTGTTGATTTTGTAATACAGAATAACTTGTTTGGCTGCATAGTTGTTGATTTTTCACAATTAATCACACTATTCTTCACAAATATATATGAAACTAACTTAAAAGAATATTAATGCTGTGTATAAATATTTATAAGTTTATAAATTTTCAACAACTTAATTTTTTGCATGGCTTTTATTATTCGTGAACATGATAAGGCATATAAACATGAATATGCGCAGCATGAATTCTTGTGTTCTGAATCTCGATTGCATATTCTATCAAGTTAAAGTAAATTATTACTGCATTATAAAATACTGAATGACTTGAAGATTTTTTAAATATTGCAGGGTGAAAACTTTTTTTTAGCGAAGTTAAATGTAAAATTAATGTTTGTTGGAAGTGCTACATGTAGTTTTTCAATTATTAAGAATTAATTAAACTTTATGTTACCTTGACCCTATACATTTTTTTTTTATTTAACTTGTTATATTTATGAGAAATTCTTGTTTAATCTTGAAAAAATACTAAGATTTTTTTTACAAAAATCTTTTTGTTAATCATCTTTTTAGTTTTTATCTTCTTTTTTTTTATCTTTCTTATATCTTTTGTTCTTTTTTGTTTATCTATTGTTACCTTTTGTTATTGTTTGTTAATTTTTTTTATTTTTTGTTACCTTTTGTTATCTTTTGTTATATTTTGTTATATTTTGTTATCTTATGTTATCTCCAATTAACTTTTGTTATATTTATATATATTTTGTTATCTTTCATTTCTACAAAAAAAAGGTTTTATCTTTTATTCTTTTAGTGTAAAATGTAAACATAGTTTTCAATCAAACAAATATTTCTTTCCATGTTGTTGTTGGTCACATACTTACTAACTAGCTGAATAAAATACTTGTATAAACAGTCTTCCAATCAAATATTGCTTGAACAGAAGTCTTTGAACAGAAGTCTTTGAACAGAAGTCTTTGAACAGAAGTCTTTGAACAGAAGTCTTTGAACAGAAGTCTTTGATAACCCAGGAAATTTAAGTGCTTCTCATGATTAAAAAACTTTTCATTATCCCATTTATTTAAAGTGTTTTATTTTTAAATCTGTTTGAATAGATGGTATGTAGTAAATAGATACAATAAATGCTACATTTAAATCAATTTTCTTTTCAGAAGTCATATATTTAATGACTGTGGACATAATATTGAACATAAGGAAGTATTTGCTTTCTTATGTTCAATAATATGTCCACAGTCATTGACTACAGACCATTGTTACAGATGCCAAACTGATGGCTGATAGATGTAGAAACTCTTTTATTTCTTAGATTTAACATTTATACAGAATGACATTAGTGACATGGCGATAATACTGATAATAAACAAGATGTCTATTCCTAAAATTCTTTAATTTTTATTCAATTTCCTTTATATGCATAACATTTCATGTTATAGTGCATACAAATTTTTTTTGAATTTCAATTAGAGTTTGCAAAGACCTGTAATAAGATCTCACTTATTTTTTTACAGCAGCATTGGCAAAAACCTTTGTTTAAAATTCAGTTAGATTTTTCCTTTGGCATTGGTTTAAAAGCTCAAATAATGCCTATCTTGGGATTCTGATGTTTACACAATCCAAGAAATGATTTACTAAGAAATATAAGTTGTTGCTCCCAATTTCCATTCAGCATTACTTGTTGTAGTATCCGAACAGAATCCTGTTCGAACACTACAATAATATATTATATTCACCAAATTTTAAAATATTTTAATAGATTCATAATACTTATTGGTATATTGGTTTTCATTTTTATTTTGATGCTTGCTGGTCCAAACTGATGACCTACTGTTTGAGTTTGATTTATGAAAATTAACATTTTTAACAATTAGTATAAAGTTTTTTAGCTTAATTACATATATCCAGTTACAAATTTTTATATTTTTCCTTTATTTTTTTTAAATCCAAATAAAATTTATTGATTGTGATTCAGATTTTATTTTTTTAAGTAAGTTCCTCATAAGAGAAATTCAAAATTCCTCTTTGTTATTGTGGATTACTGAAATCTTCTGTACTTGATATTTGTATTCTATTCTTTTGTATCTGTCAATCTTTTTGTACTTGACATTTGTATTTTTCTATTCTTTTGTATCTGTCAATCTTTTTGTACTTGACATTTGTATTCTTCTATCTTCTTGTATCTGTCAATCTTTTTGTACTTGACATTTGTATTCTTCTATCTTCTTGTATTTATCAATCTTTCTTTAAAACTAGTTTCAAGCTCTGTGAAAATTTTTGTAAATATTATGAAAATATTCATGTAACTTTGCACTAATGTCAAACATTTGCTAGAATATTCTAAAAAAATTATTTTTGTGGTTGTTTAGATTTCTTTTTAATACTGTTGTCCAAACTCTTTGTATTTGCCATTTTAGATTTAAACCTATGCTTCTCTCAGAAGAACCTATTTAAACCATGCTCCTCTCAGAAGTCAAATATTTACTTAAACCTGCTGACTTCCAAATCTTTACAACTTGTTGGAGACACCAGTACTTTTCTATATTTAAAAATTTCTATCATTTGAAGATAACAGCCTTTTGTGCTCAAGAAAATAAAGAGTTTGATTCGATTGGTTTAATTTTTTTTTTACTCCAGTTAGATTAGATACAACTAATGATAAAAACTTTGCTTTTATTTGTTTTGGTAGGTTATTTGGTAGGTAGCTTAATGGCAAGTTGAGCAGCAGAGAATTATGGTTAACTACTTTCTTTTTCCTCTTCTTGATTTTTGACATTTTTTACACACCTAAATGATGTAATTAAACAATTTATAAATAATTACAAATAAATGACATCAAATATTTTTATAATAAATTGAATTTTTGATTTTGAAACTTGCTTAACTGTAAAGAAAATAAAAAATACTTAGGAAGTTATATTTTTAAATTTACTTACTGAGGGAAAATGCACTTTCTGAGGAATCTAAACTTTTTTTATGTAGACTACCTATGTTTGTTATTTAAGAATCAGAAAAGTATCAGAAAATGTGCTACAGCTTTTTTTTGTACCCTTTTGTATCACATTGTTATTGTTTTTTTTTTTATTGTTAATTTAAATTTTGCTTTGTTTTATTTAGTTGATACCAAACTTATCATATACAGATGAATTACAAGTAATTCGAAAAAAGTACAATGCTGCTTTTACAGAGTTAATGATGGGTGCTGTTACAAGATTAAAGGTTTTTATATATTTAATGCATTTTTTGATTAAATTCTGGCAATAGTGATAAACATACCTCTGTATGGTCTGTTATAGTTTTAAATTAGTATCTTGTGTTGGGTCTTTTATTATACAATTAATAATATTTTTAAACAATATTGCTTATAATATATTCTGTAAAGTGTTCTTCAGTGTTTTTTGTGTCTTCAATATCTTTTGTATTATTTTTTACAATAAAATATTGAATATATAATTTTATAACGTAGGTTGCTTTAAATTAAATATCTGACAAACATTTTATTATTTAAAGAAAAATATGTTAACCACTGTTAATGCTTTTTTTTTGAAAAATAGGCTGACTTTACTTAAAAAGTACAGGTACAAAATCAAAATGGGAGATTTAATCTTTTTCAATATTAGTCTCTATTATTTAGGCAATAATTTATTCTATATCAATTTTTTTAGTTTTTAAGCATAACAGAACTTTTCAGTCAATGATCACAAGTGTTAAATTAGGGAATAGTAAATTGTGCTGGAAGATTAGGAATCTTTTATTTTCTTTAAAGAAATTGCTGATAGCTGATTTTTACATTAAAAGATTTTTAAAGGGATCTCCAACTGTCAAGATAAATTGTATTCATATTGAAGTGAATGTTTAAAAAAAGCGTTTTGGGTTAATTTTTTTTTAATTTAAAATTAATAATAAATTTATATCAATAAAATTTAAATTGTCCTTTTAGTCCAAGCTTGTTTTCTCTATTTTACTTTGGTTCTTGGAGTCTTTTATAAGATATCATAGTATTTTTGTCTGACAATCAGAAAATCATATTTGCGTAATTCAATGCAAGTATTATAGAATGTTATATTTCGTTTTTATAGAATCGTATATTTAATGTCTTCCTGTTATGTGCAAGAACTAAATATAACTTTTTATGCCAAACTCCTAAATAAAAAGATGTTAGTCCCCTTATTACATATTATGATTACTTTTTTTTATTATATATTATGTTTTAATTGCTATCTTCTTTTTTATAACTTTTTTTTTTTTTGTAGTAGGAAATAAGTTTGTCAAAGTTTATATTTTTTCATCAAAAAAATCTGTGTTTTATTACCTCTTGTTGGATCTTGATTAGTGATTGACCAAAATGGGAAATAAAATTTCTGGTAAACTAGTTACAATACGGAAACAGAAGCAAAAACATTTTGGCAAACATTTTACCGAAATACCAAATTTTTGGCTAAACAAAACTAGTTTCATTATAAAATGTTATCTAAAATTTTACATTTGTTTTTTACTTATATTTATTATTTTTGTACATTTGTTGTTAGTTTTTTTGATGACTTCATTCCGTCTTATAATAATATTTTAATAGTCATAAATAAAAAGTAAAAAAATAAATTATTCATAGAAAAATCTATAAAAATAACTAGAAGCTTACAACCACATATCCTTGTTTATTTCTTTAAACTCTATTTAAAAGTTTTTTTTTTTTTTTTTTTATAACAAAATATTATCAAAACGAGATTTTAAATATTATGTACACTGCAATTATTTTATTATTGGCAGTTTTGATATTTTTTAAAAGCAGATGGATACACGCTATTTACTAACTAAATGTTAATGAAATTTGTGAATGCTGGGCTTAATTTTATTTAGAAATGGTAAAATAATACAAAATTGAAATTTTGGTTTTTAGTATGTTTTTCAACCAAAATTTTGTTTCTTACCGAATTTATAAAAAGTACCAAAACCAAAATTTTGGTATTGGTTCAAATTGAAATTTTAGTTGAAATTGTAACAGAATTCTGGTTAATTGCTAATCTTGATATAATGGAGAACAAGTGCAACCAATCAAATGCCAGCTACTGCAAATGCTGCAAAGTATTGTTTACACTACAAAATTTATTTTTAAATGAATTAGATTGCTACTTTTAATAGAAATCAAAAACTTATTAAATTTTTTCATGTCCTGCAAAAGATAATTTACATTAGCAAGTTTTTTAAAATAAATTTTGCAACCTCTGCAAAACATAGTTTTCACTGTAAACTTTTTCAAAATACATTTTTAGATAAAATATGATTAGCAGTCTAATTTGGTGGTATATGTAATAGTATAGTATTTATGTTTATTTTTTTACCACTCACTTGCAATTTAATCCTAAATTGCAATATTTAAGGTTGCAACTGACTCTGTCAAAATAAACCACTCTTGGAGGAGAAAGAAGATGATTTTTAAAAAGAGTTTTAATGTCTTTAGACAAATGGCATTTCAAATTTGCATCCTGAAAAATTATGGCATATTTTTTCAAGGTATTTTTTGTATTATTTTTATGATAATTTTTTATTCAAAAATGATTTCTTTGTTTGCATTTGAGTAAAGAGAATCAAATGTTTATATATTTAGTTTTTAAATTTACAAATAGTTTTAAATTTAAGAAAAAGCAAATCATTTACTATTCATTCATGGTATAAAGAATCATTTTGTGAAGTTGATTTGTTGGGTCAAGGTGGCTTTGGAAAAGTTGTAAAATCTAAAAATATTCTAGATGAAAAGTTTTATGCAATTAAAAAAATTGTTTTCATTGATGCAAAACCAGTAGATTGTATTAAGGTAAAGTAAAATTTTTTAATAAAATTTTTAAATCAATAATTTAAATTTTTTTAAAACTTTTTTTACTATTTAACATTTTTTTTTTCATTTCACTTTTATTTTTATTTAGAAATATTTCTTTGCTTGTAGAAACTTTCTAGACAAACTTTTTTTCTAGACACTAAGAGAAGTCCGCATTTTCTCTGACTTAGATCATCCAAATATAGTGCGCTACCATTCTTCATGGTTAGAGTATGGAAGTGAAGGTCATTCAGGTAGAAAAATAATAATAATATGTGGTTAATCTTTACTATCTTATATTTATCTTATATTGGGTCTTATGCATATGTATATATATATAAACAACTCAAACGAAATAACTCCAGTTGAACATGATGAGTTGAACATGATTTTCACTATATGCATATGTATGTATATATATTATATATATATATATATATATATATATATATATATATATATATATATATATATATATATATATATATATATATATATATATATGTAGGTATGCAAGCATGTATGTATCAGGTGCTATTCTAGGAAAAAAATATGGGTAGCAGCACCCCTCTGTCTTGGAGATATTTTGGGGAAATGTTGCCGAATGTTTGCAGTAAAAACAATATTTTCCAAAAAAAACGTTTAAAAAAGGTCCTTGATTTTTAATTTGGGTCGCGCTTAATTACGGTCGACCCTGTCAAAAATATTCTAGAATAGTCCCTGTATGTGTATGTATATCAGTTTTATATTGACTCTTTCCTAATAATACATTTGAAATAATTTTCTTAAGCAGGCTTTTCCAAATCGATAACAATATATATAAAATCACTAACAGTATTTAAAATACCTAACAATATATAAAGTTACTAACAGTATTTAAAATCACTAACAGTATTTAAAATCACTAACAGTATTTAAAGTTACTCACAGTATTTACAATCACCAACAGCATGCAAAATTACTAACAATTTTTAAAATCACTAACAGTATTTAAAATTACTTATAGTATATAAAATCACTAACAGTAACTAATTTCTCTGTTTAAATAATAAAATATAGAGTGTGGTATACTGTGGCAAACCTACAATATGCAAAACCTACAAAATTTTATCTATATTTTGTTTCTGAGGTTTTCTGTAGTATAAAATTAAAACTAAAAATTTAAAGTTTACTGTATTTAATTCTTAAAGATTATTACAACAATTGTTATTTTAATAATAAAGTAATAATAAAGAACAATAATAGTAATACAGTAACTATTACAGTAGTTAAAGTACTAAATTGCATCATTATCAACATTATTACATCATTATTATATCATTATTGCATCACTATTAATTTAATTGTATATTAAGTTGTAAGAAACATTTTTGAAAGTGAGGTTAAAACAGACATAAAAAAAAACTATTGTTTGCCTTATGTATGTTTTTATGATTTCAAAACAAAGAAGAAATTTTCAAAAATTTTCAGAGTTATCTAAATTTTTATGCAAGATACTGCTGTGACAGTATTTTTTTGTTGCAACAATTTTTGAATTGTGTTTTTGAAAATATAGATCCTAATCAAACTGAGGAGTGTGTCAGCGATGAAAAAAACAAAATAAATTCTTTAAATTGCATATTTTATAAAGATTTTCAAAAATTAAATTTTGAAATACGAAATATATTCTTATTTAACTAATTTAGTTAAATTATTTTTATTATATTTAAATATTTTTTTAACAATGGTGTTGTTTCAGGAAAAATGAGAGAACCAAAGAAAAGGTTTGTTTTTTTCTTTTTTTACTATTAGTTTTGTATAATATATGCTATTTTTTGAGTTTTTGAATAAGCTATATATATATATATATGTATATGTATATGTATATGTATATGTATATGTATATATATATATATATATATATATATATATATATATATATATATATATATATATATATATATATATATATATATATATATATATATATATTAGTAAGAAAATATCAATTAATATGAATTCTCTTGATACAGTTAATAGAAATTTTTGCTGGATTATGGTCACCAGCATCATAGAGAGAAAGAGAGAGAGAGAGAGAAATTAATAAGAAACAAATTTATTTTAAGTTTTTTTTTATCTAAAACTCTGATTCTTAGTCAAGTGACTCAAAGTCTTGTTCAGGTGATTCTTCATCTGAAACATTTTATGGTTCGTGAGATTTATCTGAAATATTTATTGTTCCTTTAGGTAGAATTGGTTGTTGTGTTGCACACATATCAAATGCTTTAAGTTTTAAATTTTGCGATACAAACACTAATTTTTCTGCTTTTTCATTTTTTAATCTGTTTCTTTTGGCCCTGTGAATATTTGTATAACTGCTAAGACTTCTTTCGCAAGCAGCACTTGTAGCAGGAAGCTGATAAATTTTTGCTACTACTTTTGATAATTCAGTAGATGAAAATAATCCCTTCCACCAGTTTGGACCAAACGATAGGTCAATAGCTGTCCATATAAAAATTTTTGATTTGAAAAATTAATTTGCTAAATCGGCCATTAAAATATCTATTTTAGTATTAGGTGAGTTTACAGCAATTGAATACTTCACATACATCAATCTGTTAAAAAATTTAGATAATGCATAAATGGTTTTACTTAGTTTAATAAAAATAAACAAAAGTTACTAATAATTTAAGCTTTTGTTCCCCATTTAAATACCTTCCTTGATATTTGGGTCAAGTAGATTAGCAGCCATATGAATTTTTGTTAAGCATTTTTTTTTTTCTTTTAGCAAATAGTTCTTTCATTTCTACTTCCTATTTTTGTTAAAGGACTGGTTACTATGTTTTGATTAATATTATTTTCTAAATTATAAAAGATTTCAACAATAGACGACAACATTGGGCTAACAGCTTCTGTTATCTTGATTGCATCAGCTATTGGTGCTAACAGCTTTAAAAATCCTTGAACCTTATTCCAAAAAATATCTGATAACAAGCTATTTTTTGTTGTAGAATTTAATACACATTGCTCAGAGATTACCAAAGATTTTAACGACTGTTTATTTTGTATACTCTCAAGACACGCCACAGTGGAACCCCATCTATTAATAAATAGATTTTAATCATATCCTAATTGCATGGCCATTCGTGTTCCACTTTTTGACATAACATCATTGCAAAAAGAACATTGAAATCTTTCCATTTTGCTCACCTGCTGGCTTGAATAAAATGCTCACAGATGTTTTCTTTCTACCCCCAGTGTGGCCACTAACTACTCTATTATTATTACTACTCATTACTATGTTCTAATCAAACAACTAAATGATCTGACTATTTTGATTAGAAATCTGCTTAATTAATCCTTACAATACCTTATAAAGGCTATATTCTAAAAACTTGTAAAGCAAGACAGATAAATTGTAAATAGAAGAATGACAAAGTCTTTTAATAAATAATACCTAAAAACAAACTGTTGAGATGATATTTATAAAAATGTTAAAGTTCAAAGTGTTAAAGTAGTTAGTTAAAAAAATACAAAAAAACTTTTGGTGGGGATCTGCTACTTGAAGAGCTTTAGGCAATTCTAATAAGATCATATGTTAATTAAAAGAATGAAAACTCTCCTTTAATAAATATTACTTAAAACAAAATTTTTAAATTATTTCAGTGTTTTAAATAAGAAAAAGAGTAGTTTATAAAAAAAACCAAAAAACGAAGCAGTTGGTTTTTTGGCAAAAAAATAAGAACCAAAAAAATGACTCACATCTCTCTCTATGTATATGTATATATATATGTATGTATGAATATATATATATATATATATATATATATATATATATATATATATATATATATATATATATATATATATATATATATATATATATATATATATATATATATATATATATATATATAAAGCTGCTTTATACTATGACAATAAAATTGGATAAAAATTTTTTGTTAGTTTTTCAGATCAATTACTTGGTAAATATAAAATAGCTTATAAAAATGGTGAACATTCTGGTGGTTACATTGCATCTAAAAACCACAAAAGGAAATGTCCTAATAATCCTGGTGCTCATAGTAACACATCTGAAAGTTGTGATATAGATCTTTGCAAAGCCAATACCAATGACTTTTGCAGATGTAAAAGACCAACGGTAATGATATTTTAAAATGTTTTCAAAACACTGTGTATTATATCATTTATCAGTAAATGTAGGTTTACAAATATCGAAAAATATGCATCAAGACTTGACAAGCTGTCAAGCCCAAGTGAAATAAGGAAAAAACTAGGAAGAGAGAAAAGATAAAAAAATTAAAAAGATATTTTGAACAGATGTTCAGAACAAAACAAAAATACAATAGTAAAGCGTATATTATTAAAATAATAATAATAATATAGGCATCGCACTTGTAATAGAAATGATAAACTTAGACTCCTAAGGAAAAATCATGACCAACTTGCAAAAAGTCTAAAAGAAGAAGAATATAAAATACGAAATTTAACATAATATGCTTATAATTAAACTACAAACTTTCAGTTTATCAGGCCAACACTCTAACTGATCAAGCTATAGACATTGATGTTGATAGAAAATAATAAATATAATAAAATCTACAACAAAATTCTTAAAAATGAAGTAAAGCAATGTGCAAATAAAACAAAGAAAAAGTACTAAATGTGTTTGCGTGTGTAATAATATATATATATATATATATATATATATATATATATATATATATATATATTTATATAAATATATATATATATATATATATATATATATATATATATATTTATATAAATATATATATATATATATATATATATGTGTATATATATATATATGTATATGTATATATATATATATGTATATGTATATGTATATGTATATATATATATATATATATATATATATATATATATATATATATATATATATATATATATATATATATATATATATATATATATATATATATATATATATATATATATATATATAAATAGACACATATATTAACTTAGTGTAAACAAATATTTTAAAAAATATATACAACTCATCTATCATTATATACATACTCATTTATAAAGAGAAAATAAAAAATAGTACAAAATATAAATATATATATATATATAAAAACCCAAAGGGGGAAAGTAGAAAAATAATAATTATCATGGTGTTGTAAGTTTCAATTAAAATTAAGTAGTGGGCTAATTTTGGTGAAACTACTTCCTTAGGGCAACAATATATTCACCAATAATATTTTAGATTGCCTTATAAAACATGGCTAGCATTGCTCATCAGGGATGCATCCTTGCTATCTTTATCATTGCCTGTAGCTATATATATCATATATATTTAAATATGTGTGTTTGTGTATAGTTTGTGTATGTGTGTGTATATTATGTTAAATTTTGTATTTTATATTCTATTTTTTAGACTTTGCACGTTGTTCGTGATTTTTCTTTAGGAGTCTGAGTTTATCATTTGTAATATATGCACAATGCCTATACTGTCAATGTTTTTTTTCTATACATTTTAATATGTCTTTGTTTTGTTCTGAACATCTGTTCAAAAAATATTTTTTTTTTTTCATCTTTTTTCTTTTCCTAATCTTTTCAGCTTTTCTGCAACGTTGACAGCTCCGTCCAGTCCTTTGATGCATTTTTTTCAAATGACTTTTGCAGATGTGAAAGACCATGGTATTAACAATTTAAAATGTTTTTAAAACACTGTGTACATATCATATTTATTGATATATGTAGATTTAGCTACAAATGTAACAAATTAATTTATTACTGTATTATATTATATTTATTGAAAAATGCAGATTTAAATTTACAAATAGCAAATTACTTTACTACTGTATTATGTCATATTTATTAATAAATGCGAATTTAGTTATTCAAATATCATCACTGATGATGCCATACTGAAGTAGTTGTCTGTAGGGGCTTTAATAAATATATTGACTGTTGGTTTTGGGCAGGTACTACCTACAGCAGTGACGAATCCAGAGTTTATTTATGGCAGTGAGAACCCAGATGTGTTTTAGTACCGTTTGACCGATATGGGTGCCCAAAAAAAAGCGCCTAAAAATTATATTTATTTTTTAACTTTCCTTTTGCTTTTTTATGAAAAATGTAAGAAAAAAATTTTAGTTTTTAATGCAGTAGTATATAAATAATTTTCATTTTATTTTAGCTACCTCATTTTTTCTTCAGGACAATAAAATGAATTAAAAAGAAAATGCAAAAACTTTTTTTACATAACTACGTGATGTAATTGGCCTTCAGTTACTAACTGTCGTAACTATCGCCCAAGCTTAATTTTTGAATGAATGAACTTTTGATCTTTAGCTTTAAAAGGAAGCGTAAACTTTTTCAGAAAGTTTTGTTTCTTTTTGATATTCTTTTTGACTTTTAAAATAATGAAAATAAAGATTTAAATAACTTAATAAAAGTTTTATTAAAATTTGTTTAAGTTTTGTAAAAACAAAGAAATGGTTTTTTTAAAGCTTGTACAAAAACATTTTGAGAAGCATTTTTTGACTCAATTGGTAATTCCATGCTAATGTGATAGCATTAATTCAAATGAAACTTAAAAGTTTTTTTTTTTTTTCTAGGAATTGATTATGACTCTTTTTATTCAAATGGAACTTTGTCAGTTAACTTTAAAATCATGGATGAAACGAAGAAATGAAAAACTTAAATCTGTTAAAGGTATTCATTTTAAAAATTTTTCAAAGGAAACTTTAATTACTTTGTTAAATTATGCAAACTATTTCTTTCATTCTACAATCTTAAATATTTATTTAATAATAATCAGAGATAGTTGAATAAAAGTTCAAATTTCTTTTTCTTTTGTCTCCTGTTTAAAAACTTTGCAATTTTTTAGACTATTTTTTTTTAAATAATACAGGAATTTCATTTTCTCTGTAAAATTATTAATTTTGCATACATTTGTTTTCTTAACTTCATTTTCTCATTTAATTTATTTACATAAATTATATATATATATATATATATATATATATATATATATATATATATATATATATATATATATATATATATATATATATATGTATATATATATATATTATATATATATAAATTGTTTATAAATTAAATAATACAATGAAGTGTTTACAATTACTTGTGTTGTGATAAACACTGCACAAGCTTACTTTTAATATATTCTAATGTCTCATCAAATAACATTTCTTACTTTTAATGAATTCTCTAATGTCTCATCAAATAACATTTCTTCTAGAATAATACAAGTATGTTCTAACATGGCTTCTTTTTTTTTCAGTCAACATAACACATTTATATAGTAACATTTATCAATGCATTGTGTTTGTAAGTATTAAGTATGCAACCCTCGGAATAAGGGTCGGCATTCGGCAATGAGGTCGGCAAAAAATTGCTGATTATTAGTAGCATAATAAAACCAGTTACTGTTATTTATTATGTCTTTTTTACTTTTTTTAACATGCTGCTTTTGAAACACTTCCTCTCTCTCTCTTAGATGAGACTTAAATGAGAGTTAGTACAGGAAGAAAAGACATTTATTTTAAATTATTTTTGCCAACTTCTAAAAGATTATGGTCAGCAAATTATTGACAACCTCATGCAGACCTTTTTTTTGTTATCTGTGTTTTAGGGTAACTTACTCTGTGTTCAGTACAACATTCCTGTCTTTTGAAGTGTTTGAACTTTTCTACTTTAAAACTTAAATTCTTAAATAACTTCATAAAAAGTTGAAAATAATTTTAAAATTCACAAAATTAAAAACTTAAGAGATAAAATTTAAAAAATGTTAATTTATTGTAACTTTATTGAAAAAAGTCTAGCGTCAGGTTGGTCACTTCAGGTGATTGGAATAGATATGTTATATGCTATCTTTGGGATAGAGATCTATTATGCTAGATTTGTGGTAGTTGCAAATCTCATCTTGTAAGACGTCTTTCTTGTTTTTGCAGATCATATCTTATAAGACATCTTTCTTGTTTTTATTAACTTTTTATACTTGCTATATTTTGTTAATATCTTGTTGTATCTTGTTTATTTAGTTATATACATATATGCATAAAATATTTTATTGTTATTTATCTTCAACATGTTGTTATGTATGATTTAGATGTTGACAAAAAAACAAACCTTAATATCTTGAAGCAAATCATCTTGGCATTGCAATACATTCATTCTAAAGGACTTTTGCATCGAGATTTAAAAGTATTTCTTTTTAAGTTTACCATTGTTTGGAAATTTTGTGTCGTTTTGTTTAATAACTTTATTATATTCAATATAATATTAGCACAATAATTGTGCTAAATAATTTAGTAATATTATGCTCTGTGTTGTTAAGTAATTTTATTATGTGTCAATATGTTTTTATGTGCCATGTTATTTAGTAATATTATTATAACTAACAAAAAGTAACCCGTAATACGGGTTATGGTCAGTCTGTTACATAATTAATTTATAGTGGCTGTTTTCCACAATTTAAAGTTGCAAATTCTTAACTAATACCCTTTTAGAAAAATGCCTTTAAATTGAAAAAATTAATCTATCTGTAAAATTAACATAAAAAGTATGAGGAGATAAAATAATTTACCAATTACTATTTAACACATTATTGGAGTAATTTACTGACATAGGTCATATCAGTGTGAGGCACAACCATTTTTATCGACATTCCTAAGTTCAACACAAAATAATAACACTTCACCATTCTTTAAATTGACAAAAATATCAACTAAATTCTTGTAATATTTTTTATAACATGAACTTTAATTAATTATTAAGATTAATATGAAGTTAACTTATATTATACAGGAGTTATTAACTTTTGGTATCCCCTCGATAAATTTTTCTTTAGAAAAGAAAATTTGTTATCTTAAAAACGTTAAATGCACACAACTAAATAATTTTATTAAAAATAACTAAGTTTATTATAAATAACTAAGCAATTGAGTACAAGTACGTTTCAAAATAAAAAATTAATTTACAATCAAAAAAAAGAAATTTAAAAAAATAATGTCAACTTTTATCTTTTATATTGTGTCATATGACAAACCTAAAATAAAAATTGTAACAGGTAAGTAGGCATAAAAAAGGCATAAAAAAAAGGAGGCATAAAAAAGAAGAAAAAAAATGACTGGAAAACAATTTACCTGCTTTTGGTAACCTGTTATCATACTTCAGTTGCTGTCATGATGCAGCCGTTCTTGTCGGTGTTGTTTAATGACATTATTTAATGTTGGCTTTTAGTAAACTTTTAGTAAAAGACATCACAATAGATTTAAAATATTTAAATTAAAAAACAAAATATAAAATTTATTCAAGGAGCCAAACTATAAACATTAAAGATAAAAAATTAAATTGAGATATAGATTAGTTGCATTTATATAGCTAAATATATTGTCTTGGCTTATAGTAAATTGAAGTTTATATGAAATGAAGTTAACTTATATTATACAGGAACTACTAAGCAGCTGAGTACAAATACGTTTTAAACAAAAAAAATTTAATTTACAATCAAACACATGTATAACAAATTTAAAAAAATATGAAAACTTTGATCTTTTATATTGCATTAATGCGTCATATGACGAACCTAAAATAAAAATTGTAACAGATAAGTAGAAATAAAAATTTGTAAACCAAGCTAATTAGTAATTAAAAAGTAATAATTAGTAATTGGTAAAAATTAGTAATAAAAAAATTTGTAAACCAAGCTGACCCAGACCCTGGTCTTGTTAAGTCTGATCAACACAGACCATTTCTATATTTATTAAACCATTTATTAAAAATTCCTTTTGTTACTTGAAATTTAATTTTCCTAAATATTATGATACTAATAAAGAGGTTCCTCCCCTCTTCTTGCTTTAATGGTGACCTGGTGAGTAGAGTTTTTTTTATTGAGTAATCAAGTTTTTGATGAAGACCTTTAACCAAAATAATAAAATGTAAAACAAAGATTTGAAATATGAAAAAAAAATAATAATAAATAAAGTTACACATGCAAAATGTGCTAACAATCTTTAACAGTAAATTTTCGAAAATTTTTTTGAGATATCTCTTTTGTCTATAAGTTTAATTTTGCGTTATATAATATATGGACGATCCCTAAAGTAAAATACTTGAAATTAAAAAGATTTTATTTATTACAATATTTAAAGAACCAAGGGAAAATTATAGTTAAACAATTTAAAGAATTATATCTTTAAATAGCAAGCAACTCGTAAAATATATCATTATCAGTTGTAGTATTAAAAAATACGCAAAAGCTCAGTAATTACATGAGTTTTATCGATTCTTCCTGTACTAACTCTCATTTAAGTCTCATCTAAGAGAGAGAGAGGAAGTGTTTCAAAAGCAGCATGTTAAAAAAAGTAAAAAAGACATAATAAATAACAGTAACTGGTTTTATTATGCTACCAATAAACAAAATTACTTTTACTTTAATTAAAAGTTAATTTCCAGCATTGCTTAATTAAGATTCAGCTTCTCTCTAACTGTTGACTAATGATTAATATAGTAAATTTCACATCATATTAAATTTACAAAATTAAAACCATGTTTCAACAGTAAGCAAAATAATCTAAAAGCAACTAAAAAAAAAAAAATTAAAATCATTTAAATTTGAAACTGTTATTAATTATTACTATAAATAGTAAAATTCATACTTTGCTTTATTCTAAAGTGTCTAATGTAAAATCAAATTAATAGACATCAACACCGCTTGACACTGAATTCTGGCAAGTAAGTTTTCTGTTTATCAAGCAGAATTTCTTACATTTCAACGACAATTAATTTTATCAGGCCTAGATCTATCTTTTTCATTTGACAACATTTTTTTTCAAGTCGCCTATTACCATTTACACTAAAAACTTCTTCGAGCCTAACATTATACATCTGTATAATATTAGAACCTGGTATAAAATCCAGTCTAAAGTAATATATGTATGTGAGTATGATATATATTTAAATTCTTTTTATTTTTTCTTTGAGATAATATTTATATAGGTACAGAGAAATATAAAATATACTGAAATATAGGCACATTTATGAATATAAACTTACCTTTCAACAAATTACAGTCAGTTTTCCATGTTAAATACATAAAATATATATCTAATATAAAATAAATCCAATATAAAATAATGCAAAATATTAAACTTACTCAAATCAGTAACTGTTCGACTGTCTAAAAATTTTTATTATTATTAATCCTTCTATTAAAAAAAAAAAAAAAATTGATTTGTAGTTACTAAAAAGCACTTTAGCTCTTTCTAATTGCACTAAAAAACAAATTTTGCTTCGCTAAGTTGCCTAGTTCTTAAGAATCCAAAAACAAATAAGTAAAAAACCAAGAACTAACAAACATTTATTAAAACTACTCTATTTAAACAAATTAAATTAAACAGAGAACAACATTAATTCTCCTTGAAAGCTGAAAAACTTTTCAGCTCAAATTTGCTTGCAGATCTTGCTTGTAAAACCACTTGAATAAGAAAAGCATTTAAAAAAGCCTAGAAACTACTTAAAAATGGTATATACAACATTGAACTTTAAATGTTGACTGGACTAATTATCGGTAGATATTTTTAAAAAATTCATAAAAATTTAAAGTGATTTGTTCTTCTATAACAAATAAATACACCATATGATAAATCTGAAGTTAAAAAATGTAACAAATAAGTAAATACAAAGAAAAACATCATATGTGATTTGAATATCAATGTACCTGATAGAGATAAGCTGTTGTGATACATGAGTAGTAGTTGATAAATATTGTTATTTCGTGATAAACAAAATGTATTTATAGCAAAATGATGTCTTGAATGTTTTTTAGTAAATGAATAAAAGCAGTGAGTTCTAGTAATGAAACTACCTATTAATCATTTTTAACAACTGACACCGACATAAAGATAAGTCAAAGGGAACAACATTTTGCAAAAAATTATCAAAGGTAATGTTATATATTTTCAGAATAGTTATATTAAAGGCTAAGCAACACTTACACCTAAAGCAGTAACACTGCTTGACTGGTAAGGTTGACAAATCTTGCTCTACACGTTTGACAAGTCACACCACTTTGAAATCATGGAAACAACATAATATAAACATATATACTAACTATAAAACACATTATATTTTTTTAATGTTGCATAACATAAAAAACACCTCATTTAACAATCATCCACACATTAGATACATTTTATACTATTATAAAAACACATTTACAAAACAACTATATAACATATATCACCACATACACGTATTTATCAAAAACTTTTAAACTTTGAGCATAATATAAACATATATGCAAACTTTTAACAATTATAAAACAACATTTATTAGCATCAATTATTTTTAATGTAACAAAGAATGCAGACTACAATGCACAACATTGTTAATAAAAATGAAGTTATGTCAGTCAGTATATATTTATCTAAAGTAATGAAAAAGAAGAAACCATTAAGAACAAAATTAAAAATTTTCTATTAAATTTCTAATAAATACATATTCAGATACTTTAAAATGAAGCATGAGATTTAAACACCCTTTGTACAAATTACATTTAAAACTTTTAAGAAGTATTTTAATAAAAACAAAGCTTGACTTGCACATGTGAAATCCTTAAGTGAAAGTTACAGAAAAATCCCCTCTGGAAGTATTTGTAGGCATGAACTAATAGTTTTATTTGTGTTTTCCTTAAATTTACTATAGTGTGGTCAGTTTTGGAAATGAAAAGACTTAAATTGACTACAGCTTTTCTGTACTGTCTCATACCTTTAAAAAATATTGTGTAGATGATACTATTTTAATACTATTAATTTTACAAAAATTTATTTTTCTTATAATAATTTCAAAAAATGCTCTTTTTTATAATTTATAAACAATGCCCATTACCATGGAAAACCAAAGGAGTTAAATCCTGTTTGTCTTTAATTTTTTTGTGCACCAACTGGTGACTAAATGAAACAGCATTAGTGGCAAAGCTTTATATCAAATACTTTGAAGTCTCAGTTGCAATTTTCATTATGTTTAATGTAATTTTCTTTAAAATCTTCAAGAAAGACTAGAATGTTTTTTAAGTCCTCTAAACTTGAATTTTTTTTTGCTTTGAACTCTTTTTGTATGTGGATTTGGTTTCTGGTTTATTTACTTTACAATATATATACTTGTTCAATCCTCAAAAAATTCTTCATTAATTTCAATCTTCACAATATGATTCTTCCCTTTTAATAAGTTGATTGATTAGTTCAGAAACATTTTTGCACTAGGTAATCAGTATTGAATCTCGGTTATTGTCTGGTATTGATAAGATATACAGATACTTATAGTATATATAGATATATAGATACTTACAGTATCTATATCAAGATCTTGTGTTACTGTTATTGAAGATATTGGTTATAGTTGTTTTGATATTTACAGTAGCATTTGGGATTGCAGCTTGATTCTTGACAAGATCTTGTATTTTATTTTTATAAGCAGTTAGTAATTTAAAGTTGTAAATTTATAATTCTATTATAAATATTACTAAATTTATTAATAACTGAAAGTTATTAATAAATTTAGTAATATTTATAATAGAACTTTTCAAGGAATAGTATAATAGAACTTTTCAAGGATTGTTTATCAAGGATGGTTTATCAAGGATGGTTTATCAAGGATGGTTAAGCATTACATTATACTTATCATTTAATGTTTCATACAGTAGCACAGTTTTATTTTAATTGTGTGGTATTCTTGTATGGTATGATATTCTTGCTTTGTATCTTCTTTCATTGCTTTCGTAAATTTTTTTCTCATCTGGTATTTTAATTTAATTAGTTACGTGATATCGCTTCCCTAATCTTGCATAGTATTGTTATTCTTGCTTGGTATCTTCTTTCATTGTTCAACATTCAACAACTAAACTAGTAAACAAGTAAACTCACTAATTATTAATATTATTTATATTTTTTACCTCTTCACCCAGTTCTTTGTCTAAATAAGACTTTAGGTAATACCTTGTTTTTAATTAGAAAAATAGTTAATGAAAAAAATTAAAATTGTGAAAAAAGCTTGACACAAAGCAGTCAAATACTACTGGCTTGTGATAGCATATTTAAACACTACATAGAAAGTTATTCATTGAATTTCAAAAGAAAGAAGAAGAGCGGAGATCACAAGTAAACCTAATCAAGGCAGGTTCTTCTGGATTTATCTTCTGGATTCCACATCTAGATTTTCTCGAAAAATAAGCTTCCTCAACTTTACCATACACTACAGGGAGTTGTGTATGAAGTCATGGATAAAGAGCTTATCAATATCAAATGAAACTATTTGACCACTCAATACCATACTCAATACCAAATTTTTTATTATCAGTATTATGTGGTATCAAACCAATACTAATGGTATCAACATTATATAGCCAATACAACACAATACAAGATCATTCCTCTCTCTATCAACTTACATGATACTGATTATCTAGTGCTTATTGTGCATAAGTTAGAATGTGCATTGTTTTCTTATTGATTTGTTTCTTTATTGATTTGTTTCCTTATTGAATTATTTCTTTATTAATTTGTTTCCTTATTGAATTGAAGCTTTCTTATCATCAAGGACATTCTTTTTAATCATGAATTTTTTCTTTTAGCTCAGGATTAAAAACTTCACTTACTTTACAACATCTGAGATTGCTACAGGTCATTTCTGTTTGGCAATCATTTATACTTAGTATAAATTCCACTTTAAAAAAATTTTTTTTTAAAGATTTGAGTTCAAAAAAATGTTTTGAATTTTACTATGAACAATCAGTCTTCACAGCTAAAGCTATACTAATGCCATTAACAGTTTTTTTATATTGTTAATTTTCTTGGTTGGTTAAGGTACTAATGTAGCGGTGTAATGTCCACTTAATTTATTTTTAGACATTGCTGTCTCAAGATTATTCTTGCACACAATGATATTGCAAAATGCAGTAAATCTTGTCCCACAATGCATAGAGATCTTTGACACATAGTTAAGGTTAGGGTAGGTGGCATTACTGTTCATGTTTGTCTGTACTTTCTGTAGATGTTGGTCTTCTATTTTTGTTTAATTTCAGGGAGATGTCTTCCCTTGCAACAGCGCTAGCTGCAAATGTAGCTTGATTTTTCTTAGTGTAAACTTTTGTTGCAGAATAATTTTAGGATGTTGGAAGAGTCTCTGATTCTTTAACAATTTTTTTTCTGATTCTCAAACAATTTTTTTTTTTCCTGATTTTTTAACAATTTTTTCAATAAGCTTCATGGTTTTTTTCTGTCGCAATCACAGCTATCTTTAGAAAAATACTCCTTAGTTAAATTTTTGTCATATTTACACATGACATGAGTTTGAAACTAAGAACAAAGTATTAAGTCTTAAGTAAATAACCCTTAAAAAAATGTAAAATAAAATATTTCTGGAGTATATAACCCTTAAAAAAAATATGTGAAATAAAATGTTTCTGAATGCTTAAAAAAAATATGTAATAGTCGGATTATATAACCCCTGAAAATATTTTAGAGTGCATACAATAAAATGACAAAAAAAATGTTTTAATTGTATAAACAAAAATGTTTTATTAGTAGAGTTATGTTAACAAAGAGGTTGACAAAGTCACCACCTTAATACATTTTTTTTATATGAGCCTATATTCTCTAGGGTGTTATCCATATTTGATTATATTCGAACGATTGTATTAAAAAAATTTTTCTTTTCAATTTTTTCTTTTAAAATTTTTTAATGCAATAATTAATTCTAATTTTAAATGGTAGGTGAATGGGTAAAATTTCAGTTTTTTTTTTAGCCTGCAAATATTTTTTTAAATGAAGCTCAAAATAAAGATGTACAGCTACATGTCAAAATAGGAGATTTTGGTCTCGCTCGAACAGCTCATAATGAAAAGTTGAAAGTTTCTAATGAAAAATTCTTTGGTAAAAATATATTATAATGTAAAACTTACTGTTTTTTTTTGTTTGTTTGTTGTTTTATATACTTTAGACACCAACTGTTTTCCTTAAATTTTCAAGCAATTTTTTTGTTTGTCTTTTAGACATATACCTTTTGTATATGTCTAAAGGTTGATATAAGTTTTTTGTTAGAAAACACAAAATTTGTTTTTAATATTTTTTTGCTACTCACCACAATCATAATCTAAAATATGTTTAAACAAAAAATTAACTAAAATGAAAAAAAGTATTCTCTTTTATGCCGAAGATTATGTGTTCAAAAAACTTTCTTTTATGCTCCATGGAGAGTGATGATAGGTTGCGAAGGATATTATAAAGCTAAAATTGAAACTCTTGTATGTTTCAGATCTGGTGCTAGTGAATCTTGTGTTTTGCACTAATATATAAAATATTATATTAATATATATATATATATATATATATTGTAATTCACCTCCCCAAGGCCGAAAAGGCTACTACAGATGAGGAGTTATAACCCTCGGTTATAACCCTCTCTCAACCCTATAACTCCGAAACACGAACCTTGACAAACAAGGCTGCTACTCGGAGAAACAAGTTGAGTGCGGTACTACCAGGGACGAATTTTTTCAGGGAAATAAAATTCAGGGAAAATTTTTTTCATTTAACACTGTGTTTCATCAATAAAGACTCATCAAAAATCTGATGAGTCTTTATTGATGAAAAACTTTGAATACTTTGTAATTTAGAGTGCTCTGTTCTTTTAAAAACATTGAGCACTCTATTTTGTAGAATACATTTTAAAATTGTTTAAATATATATATATATATATATATATATTATATATATATATATATATATATACATACGCACACATACATACTGTATTAATATTTCTCTTAGTTATTGGCAGTTATTGATCTGTGTAATGAAAGAGTAATGTTCAAGAGGTACTATTAAAGTTGCACTTTTAATAGTACTTCTTGAACAGTAGAAGGACTGCTGAAATTCTAAAAAGTTAGCACATTTTCTGTTTTCTTACTTTTGTAATTTTTGTACATATACTCAATCCCCACTTAGCCATACTGCACTCAGCTATTAGGATTTCCAAAAAACTGCATTTATAAAAAACTGAGGTTTCTGTTTTATTAAAAAAAAAAGAAGCTACACCATCTGTAGCTAGATCAGCTACAATTTCTAAAAGGTTCGTTTTTTTTAAAATAACTATTCAAGGTTTAAATTTTTTTTTCGGGTGGTAGATTTGAGCTGGTGCTTGATTCTCCAGTTGAAGGGCTATTGATAGTGATTCCATACTGTAAAATATGGTTCTGCAAAGTAGTTGTGGATCCACCAGAGCCTGTTATAAGAGAACCGCATCTATTACAGATGCCTTCAACATCTCTTGAATTTGGAATTTTACGCCGGGCAGCAAATTTCCAAACTGATGATATGATTTATATGAAAGATATATTTTCAAAATATATTTCCATCAAATATATTTTCAAAAAGTTAAATAATTGATAGAAACATTATCGTGAATTATTTTTATTACACACGTTAATATCTTGTTGAACCAAAATGAACACTAAAAATATTTGTATGTTTTTTTAAGAAATATATATATTATATATATAAAAAATAAGCCTATTTGAGTTTTTAAATACTTTATACTTGAATATATTTGCGTGTTGTATTAAATATTCTAAACATTAATTTTTGGAATACTTGAATGATTTTGAAAATGAAAAGACATGTTAAGCTTTCTAGCAAAATACAGTCTAAATGATAAAAATAAAATTTAATTTCTCACAAATTTGATTTTTTTATACCTTTCTATAATAAGTAAACATTCAAAAGACATTATACAAAAAAATTGTTTTTGAAAACTGTCGGTTTTCATTTATATTGGGTTTAATCTAAAACCGCAGTTTTCAGTTATCGGTTAAAACCGATTGAAAAACATACTCAGCCATACTGCATTTTTTAAAAAAAGAAAAGTTTTCTTAAGTTTTTGTTACTTAAGATGAGCGGTTCACAATTTCTACTTGCAGCCTATACATAACTTTGTACTGTTCTTAAGCCAGCATCTCTAGTTTTCTGTTGTGATATTATATATTCTCCTTTACAACTATATCTTGTACTTTGGCTAATACTTTCATGCGCATTATCTTCTTGATTGATGTCATCTAAGTGTGGGCATTCATTGATGTTTAGTTTGCTTTATAACATAATAACGATTGCTAACCTTTTGAATGTTTACTTAAACCAGGAATATTTTCTCTTATTCTATTTATTATTTTGAAAAAAATTATGATATATATTGTAAGTATATTACTTTATACCTTGCTAATTAAATTTAGTTGAGAAATTATAACAGAAATGAATGTAATTTTTTGCAACTCTATTTGTTTTGTATCGTAATGAATTAAATGCCTACCATCATATCACCTATCGGACATATCACCATCACCTATTGGCATTAAGTGTTATGATACATATCTATGATGATAGAAAGTTAGTCATTACTATTGCAATACCTAAATTCATTAAGGACCTCTTAATTTATTGATGAAAAGCAAGTGTTAATAGTGTGTTTAAGTAATTAACATAAAACGAACTTACAATGGAAGCAAAATTTGAAAACTATAATTGAACTTACAATTGAAGTAAAATCTAACAATTTTTATTCTATGTTAAATAATTATTTACTATAATTACAATAATGTTAAAAATTATTTAATATAGAATAATTTCTAAAAGTTAAGAAATATCTTACAAATTAACTTCTACGCTGAAAAGTTATTTTAAACATTTTTTGGCACCCTATTAAATCAATCTGTGTTTAGCTAAATGATAAGTACTTAAATTGTTTTAACAAATAACACTTGCAAATATCTCGCATATAAATTTTTAGACTACTAATCTAAAAAGGTGTTTTAAGCATCCGCAGCTGTAAAATCAGTTTGCAAATCAAATATAAAACTGTTGTAAAAATGTTAAAAGATTTGCATAAGAATCATTTGAAATTAATTATTTAAGAATATTTGCAATGTAAAAAAATGATGTTTATTGTGTTGTATTATAAGTAATATTCAAATTGAAAGTAATAAAAATTATGGATTGTGGTCTAACTTATGGAAATCTTTTGATTAAGTGTTTTTATTTATATTACTTTTTTATTATTCTTTATAAAATGTTGATCTAGTCAATGAGGGTAATCTAAGCATGGCAAATTGCTGGTCTAATTCATTCACAACAGATGTGGGAACAAATGTTTACGCTGCACCAGAACAAAAGATTTCACGTATTTATACTAATAAGGTTTTTCATTAATTACATAGTTTTTGTTTTCATTTTTGTTAATTGTTTGCTGTGTGCAACAATGTTGTCATTTTAGGTAGATATCTTTAGTGTTGGAATAATTCTTTTCGAGTTGTTTCATCCTTTCAACACAGAAATGGAAAAAATGCAACTTGTAAATGGTTTACTTCATCAATATACATGTGGTGATATTAATAACATATGGAGTGAAGAGGTGAAAAATCTTTTTTTTAGTTCCAGGGTTCCCCCTTGACATGCAAAGCGTGAAAATTGTTTATATGGGCATGAAAAGCATGTGAAACCATGCATTTTAGTTAAATAATCATGCAAAAATATTTTTCAAATTTCAAAGTTTTTTTAAGTAATTCAGTTAATTTTCAGTTCTTGATTTTAAAAAGAAATTTTTAAATACACATGTTTTTAGATTTATTAAATACTTATGTTTTTAAATTTATTATATTTTATTTATTATTCATAAAAATTTATGCTATCTAATCTATTTAAAATGTCTGTTTGAAAATATATTGAATTATTTTTAAAAATATATATTTTTTTAAGATTTAATATTAATTAAAATATATAAATGAGTCAGACCACTTACCAAACATCTTGAGAAAAATTATCAAACAGATTTAAGTGGGTTAATTTTACCTTATTACAATTATTGTAAGATATCTTTCTATAGATCTTCCAGTGATTTATGTCAATTTGTAGATCTTCCAGTGATTTATGTCAACTTGTAGATCTTTCAGTGATTTATGTCAACTTGTAGATCTTCCAGTGATTTATGTCAACTTGTAGATCTTCCAGTGATTTATGTCAACTTGTAAAGCATAAAATAAAAAGCAGTTCATTGGTCAGACTTTCTAATTTTGGATATTCAAATAACTTTATAGATGACCAAGTTTCTTGTGCTGAAGTTATGTAAGTTCTACAAGTTTTAAATTGTAATTAAAAAAACAAACAGAAAATGACTATGAAAGATTTAGCTCAATGTTTCCTAATTCTATTGTAGCATTATAAGCAAGGTGAATCAAAAATTAAGTATCAAGTACAGTTTGGTAATGAGTATGTTAAAAGTATGTAAAATCTGATATTACAAAACCATTTACTTTTAAGTTTGATGAGACAACAACTTAGCAAATAAAAAAGAAGCATTATGGATATCTCCAGTATTTTTCAGACAAAAAAAAGAAACAGTAACATAATGCGGTTCTCTTTTTATTGATCATTGTGATCAAAACCAACTAGTTGATCATTATTTGAAATTTGAAATTGACTTCATATTTTTTACATGTTGGAATGGATGGACTAAATGTTAACATAGCTTTTGAAATGAAATTTTTGAATTTAGTTGATGTATTTAATTTGATGAGTTTGTCAAAAAAGCATGCTGAAACTCTGTCTTTCTAAAATATGTTGCTGTTAGGATTTTGGAATAATGGGTAAATCTTAAGTTTTTTAATATTTTTTCCAAAATAAAAAAATTTTAAGGCTTTAGAGATTGCTAGAAAAGAATTTGCGAAACCAAAATATTTTTCAGACTCAAGGATATTTTTGTGCTTTTTCAGCACAAGGTTTTGAAGCAATTTAGTAATACTTCAAACAGAATTTAAAATAATGATTGACATGCTTTATCCTGCAGTTTATTATCCTGCAGTGTTATTTTATTATCCTGCAGTGTGCAAATTTAAAACTTTATACTTCAAAATTTAATTCTCAACAAAAAATTGAAAAAAATTATAATAAATAGTTCATATTCACAAGACTTTACAACTTTTTACAACTTTTTTTTACAACATAAAACATTTAAAATAATATTATATATTTAATGTCTTTTTTAATACATATTATATTTGAAGATTATGCAATGTTGGCATTGAAGTCGCTGAAACTCCTATTGATAAAGGTAAGGGCAAACTTCAACAAGCGCTACTCAATAAAATTGGATAAAGCTGTATGCCAAATTTCACAAGCTATGATTGACAAGGGAATAAAGTGTAAAAGGGGATTAGGGGAAGATGGGTAGGAGTGAGCCACTTTTTTTTAAATCGATTATATCAAGGAAACCAAAAGTGGAAAAAGTATAGGATAAGGAGCCTAAGGTAGCCTAAAGTATTAGGTTTCTAATAGTAATCCAAGAAATATCAAAACTAAAACTATATAATTTCTTTAACAAATTTATTGAAAATTAAGTAAGTAACAAATACTTTATAATTAAGCATAACATAATTAAGTAATAATATAACTTATATTTTAAACTCATTTAATAAATAAAGAAAATTTATTAACTACCAGAAAAATAATTTGTTTTTATTCAGTAACAACTGATTTTGACAACAAAACAAAAAACTGTCATGACAAATGATAATTTGCAAATATTAAAATATAATATATATATATATATATATATATATATATATATATATATATATATATATATATATATATATATATAAAAGTAAATATAAGTATATATATATATATATATATATATATATATATATATATATATATATATATATATATATATATATATATATATGTATATATATATATATATATATATATATATATATATAAGTATATATATATATATATATATATATATATATATATATACATATATATATATACTTTCATTACATATATGTAATGATATTAAAAGTATATATATAATATACAATACATATATATTATATATGTGTATATATATATATATATATATATACACATACATATATATACTTTTAATATCATTACATATATGTAATGAAAGTAGTATATTAGCATATAGTATATTGGCAATAAAAATAATATTTAGCAAATACTGATATAGTCAAACACAACCTCAAATTTGTAATGGCAATGCTGCCTTTTATTTGTTCCAGAAAAAGTTGGCCGAGGTAGCAACAATTTAACATCCATTCTAGGGATAGTCACAATATCTGGTGAATTAGGCATCTTAAAAATATCACCTTTTTTCCGAAGAAAACTGATTGTAACTTCTTCTTTTATAGAGTTTACACATAAAACCTTTCCAACATAAAACAATTTTTTTTTGTTGTTTCAAATTTAACCAATACAAAGTCATCTTCTTTAGGATATATATCACAAGCACACAAATCATCTTCTAAGATTATTAAACCTTTTTCATTTGTGGCTGTCAAATGTTCCAATACAGAATCGTCTTTTTTAAGTAATTTTTTGTTAATCTTCTGTAAATTTGCTTTTAATTCTTTTGTAAGTTTGACTAACTTTTTATTGCAGAGCCTTTTCTCAATCCGATCTCTCTCAGGAGTGTCTGTGGCAATGATAGAGCAACCCTTCTTCCTTTCCCTACTTTTACAGTTTTTTTTTCCAGATTTCGGAAAACCTCTGAATTGTTTAGGGCTGATAAAGAAATCTGATGATGTAGACAGATTAACCATGGTATCATTGGTAACTAGTTTGTTTGTATCTATAGTAGTAGAGGTAGTGGGGTCTGCATTTGGTGAAACATGTGGGTGAAAAAAATTATCAGAAGTAATGCTTACGTGATTTTTTATGCAAGTATTGTTAACATCAAAAGTTCTGTCTGTCACAGAACTGCACATGAAGTCAATATCTGTAAACACGTTCCTGTCATAAGGAAATATACTTTTTAAAAGCAGCTACAATGTTAGATGGTGTTATGGCTTTCAGAAAAGCAAGCCCTACAGATGCAGCAACTTGGTAAATTGTAAATGTTTTTCCAGGATTGTGGAGCATCCAGGAATCAATTGCTGCATTATATGCAGTTTTAAATGGCCCCATAACTCCCACATCAAGTGGTTGTAACTTATGCGTGGAATGAGGTGGTAATGTCAAAATGGTCACTCTATGCTCCTTTGCTAAATTTAACACTGCTATAGATAAGTGCGCTTCGAAATTGTCATATATTAATAATGATGGATTTTCTTTTGTACTTGACGAGAACTTGATAAAGTGATTCATAACATCTAAAAAAAGTTCACCGTTCATCCAGCCTGTTTTACATGCAAGTCCGAGAGATCCAGAAGGAGCTCCTAACAACATATGCTCCTTGAAATGCACTCTTGGAAAAATAATTACTGGTGGAAGATATTGTCCAGAAGCACTGATTATTATACATGTTGTGACAAGGGTTCCTCTTTCAGCACTTGTGACTTTGCAGACACTCTTCACACCTTTCTTTGCATGAACCTAAACATTTAGAGGTTATATATAAGAAAAAATATGCCGCGAATAAAAATATACTTATTATTGAAGATTAACATACCTTTTGTGGGTTCTGCACGGTAATAGTTCCAGTTTCATCAAGGTTAAAAATCCGAGTTCCATTGTTTTATTATTATTGGTGATCTAGCAAGAAGTTCTTTTAATTTATCAAAAAATATATTTACATTATGGGCATTAAATGATGTTGCCCTGAGAGAACATCCTTCAGGTGTTCTAAGAGACAAATCTGGATGTCGCTTTCTAAAATTATTCATCCAATAAATACCTGCCATTGAGTCTTTGTGCCACTTCTGTGGAATACTAATTTTATTAATGGTTGCCATCTCAAAAGCTATACACCAACATTCTTTAATTGGAAGGCCATAGAACATTCTTGAACAAGTCAAAATATATTCCTTTAATTCTAATTCCTGCTTGTCTGTAAATATTTCTTTAACATAATAATTCGGGCTAAGTCTTGTATTTTCATCAAGCAAAAATTTTTTCCAATAACGACGAAGAGTTGGATAGGGTATTTTGGAAGTTATTGCAGTTTCTCTAATACTTTTTCCTTTTTGGATCGAATTTAATGCATCCTTCATATTTTTACTGGGGGTTTTTGCTTTTGAAGTTGTTCTTTTATAGACTCGAGGCATTATAACATGTGGTAAAAATAAATGCAATGTTGCACACGAGTTTTCTAATGATATACTAAGATATTAAAGCCAAACGTAAATATGTTTTTACGCTGAAGTCAAAACTTTTTTAACGTGAAGTATTAGTTAGCCGCGGTTCACTCCTACCCGTGATGGAATGGCTCATTCCTCCCCAAGCTGTGCAACTGAATTAAAACATTAAATGTTCAATAAGTACGTGGTTTGTGCATGTAAAATACTTTGTTCTAAAAACTACATGTTTTATTAGTAAATTTTCAACCACTATCTAATGTCTCAAAACAACCGGAATGCTCATTAAAGAAGTTTCAAAAAATACAAAAAATTTACTTTTGCACAGAAAAGGGTTGATGATAACGTTAACGCAGACACCCACACCAAGAAGGGGTAAAAAAATTGGATTGTGTTAACAACAACTTGTATGCAACTACTTGGTGAAAATTTTGAGTCTTTTTCATTTCCCGTTTTAGCTGTAGGATCAACGGTTCACTCCTACCCTTGGCTCACTCCTACCCATCCTCCCCTACAAATAAATCTTGAAAATTTAGAAAAAAAGAAAAAATTGGTGAAATCAGAAGACAAAAAATCTTTACGTTTATTTTTTTTATTATTGATTTTTATAGTTTTTCAAAATGAGTTTGAAGTGAAATTGACTAAAACATTTTATTTCATAGATTATTCAATTTATTGTGTGCTTTGAAGTAGGTTGTTTTTTTTTTTGTAATCCAAAAGCCATTTTTTCGCGTTTTCTGTAATTAATAAAAAAAAAGTTAAAAAATAAACTAATAATGTTTGAAATATATATCCACTACGAGTCAGGCTATTTGTCAGTCGATGTATGTACTGAAGCCCCCGGCAGCAGGCTATTTGACCTTAGGTGAGTATGACATCATCATGCTCACCTAACTCAGCAGTATAAGATATACACACACAACATTAATTGTTTTATTAATAATTCATCAAACATTTTCACACAAGTTAAAATAAATTTTATAAACGTCAGTTTTCAATTTCTCTTAATATTTAAAAAGATGTAAAAAAATCCAATATGCTATTATGAAATTAGCCTATATCTATCCAAGATGTAGGATGAGAACTCTGTAGTTCAGATCATTCTTTGACGTTGTTCATAGATTTTCTATTTTATTATTTGCAGGCAATTTTAATTCTTCAAATGACTTCGGTTGTTCCAGATCGTCGGCCATCAGCTTCAGATATTTTAAACTACAGTTTATTAAAAGATAAAGAAGAGGTATTATAACGAATTATTGTGAATTAAAAACTGATATTTATATACTTGAGGTTCAATTGTTATTTTTTGCTTCTAGACAATAGATTATCTCCGTTCTGCGCTTAAAGCAAAGGACATGGAAATTCAATACTTGAAAAGATTGTTAGACGATTTCAGAGTATTGTTAAATTCCAAGAAAACTATAGCACCTACTTAGCCTGATTGACTTTTTATTGAAATTCTGTTAAGTACTTTTTATTGAAATTGTAAAGGACTTTTGCTGTGTAGTTTAACTTGCAGATGAATCCAAGATGAATCAAGAGACTTTAGAAGTATTCTCTATAATTATGCCAAAGAAAGATAAACATTTATTAATAAGTTTTTACAAATAGTTCCCATAAATTATTGTAATAAAAAAAACAATTGTTTTTCCTTGTTTTCTATAATATTCTTAAATATTTAATAATTTATACCGTAAACAAGGGCGAATCTAGGATTTATTTGTCCTTTGGCAAAAAAAATTTGTGTAAATTTCAAACTCTCCCCCTCTCCTCCCCAACCAGTCTCACAACCCCATCCCCTTTTATGCGCAACTTCTGTCAAGTGCCAAAGAAACACCCCCTACCACTTCATTAATGGTGAATTTTTTCCCATCTACATTTTCAAAAAATTCTCTCTTCACCTTATTTTAATGACCACCCTCCTGTTTACTTTCAAATTTTTTCAAATTTTTCTAAATTATGTATGTTAAAAATCCTTATTAAATTTGGGTCATTATTTTTCTATAAAAAATATCCATTAATTTAAATTAAATTGAAACTATACCTATATTTCATTTTTGATTTCGGAACACAAATAGCACAGTCAAATTTCTATTTATTGAGTATAAACTCAATTCAGAATACATGCAGATGCTCTACCTCCACAGTATAAAGGTTGAAAGAGTATCTGTTTGGAAGGTATTTGTTTAAAGCACATGAACCACATTAAGGTTCCTTCCTATTCACATCAAGGTTCCTTCCTATTCATGTGTGCGATTTTTTATCCAAAACGATTGAAGGCATTTGACAGAAAAATAAACCATCAATTAGCAAACGCTTTTCCCTGCAGATTTTATTCCTGGATTACATATAAAATATAATATATTAAGGCATTGTGTAGTAGTAGATTAAGACTTTTTGGGACCCAGTGCTGTTTTAAAGCAGGAGGCTTCTTTCCATGATAAATCAAATAAGTTATTTTTTGAGTTACTTTTAAAAACATTTTTTTGTGAAAAAAAGTTTTTAAATCTGTGGGGCCCAGGGCTATAACACGGGCAATTTAACTCCATAGCGAAATGTGCAAATGTTTTAAACTTATAGAGTAAAATGAAATAGCGGGTAGAACGAAATAGTAATGGCAATGTTTATTCTTTCGCTTTTAATTAACTATTGAATAATATTTTTGTAAATATTTTTTGATTATATTGTAGAGAATATTTTTCTGAGTAAGATAGTATAAAATTTTATTTTTAATTAAAAAAATTTTGTTACAAATTTATAAGTTTTCGAATGCGTAATAAGATTTTTTTTATTTGTTTGAAAAGGGAACTTAAAACTCTCTATTAAATTAAATTCGGTATCATTGAACTTAAAATGTTTACTGATACAACTTTTTACGCTGATCAAGAATCTTTTTTCAAAATTAAATTTGCTATTTAAAAAAAAAGTTATTTTTTTCCTAAAGAGTTGAAAACGGAAACTGAGTGTTGCGGGGTTGAATGAAATACGCTAATAAATAAATAAATACGAAGCAATGGCTTATTTCTTAAAAGCGGCTTTTTTTTATTAGGTCTCAAGTGACCAATAAATCTCCAACTATAAATTTTTTGTATAAATTTCAATGAACGAATTTTTCTAAGTGGATTTAAATGACTTTTACTTACTGCATTTATAAAATGGTTCTAATAAATGAATGAAATTCGTTAGTTACTCTCTTGTTAATTTGCTTACCAGCTCACTCGTCCCACTTTCTACACCCACTAGATGTTGGTGTTTTTTGCCATGTCAAAAGAGTTTGGCGCAAATTACTTCAACAGTTTTATGCAGAGACAAAGTTTAGCAACTTATCAAAAGAATGTTTCAGTCACCTGCGAAAAAACTTTTAAGCTCTGGTGAAGTTTTTACACGTACCCAGATAGATTCAATGGGTTTCAGAATACTGGCTTGTTTTCACTTGACATCAATAAAATTAATCAGTCAAATTTGCAAACTTCTAATACATTTGAAACACCGAGATCTGAACCTGAATCTTCATCATCTCAACAACCAGAATCTATGATAGTGCCATAGATAGCACCAGGAACTACACTACCTCAGCCAATGCCCTCTGAATCTACTCCAAAAAAAGTCACCTTGTTTGCAAACAACCTTCAATATTCTATTAACTCTGGCTATTCAAAAGGAAATTCAAAAAGAGGTTGCAAAACAACTGCAATCAGCCCAATCACTTAAATCAGCTTTGCAATAAATGTTTCGTATCCAACACGTTGACACACACAAAAAAAAATGTAGATGTGTCAAGATTCGAAAGGGAGTGTCTCAACAAATCTAAAATACTTGAAAGGTTGAAAAATGCTGAGAGCAAAAAAGCAGCAAAGCAAGCTAAAAAACAACCTAAGCTTAGCTCTAATGGAGAACAGCAAACAAACCAAGCAACAAGTCCAACAAAAATATTAGCTGCAAACCAATTCAAGTGTAAAAAGTTCCGAAAAGTTTTGAGCGAAACTTCAGCAAATCAAATTATGGAATGGTACCAGTGTGAAAATTCAAATTGCAAGGTTTGGCTATGTCAAACATGCATACCAAAGCGATACGTAAAAAGCGCTGAGTTTTATTGCTACAAAAAGTGCTGCGGCTCAATATCATCAAAAGAATAAAAAAGTTTATTTTATTTGATTGATTTTTTTAATTGTTATTATTGATTGTTTTTTTAATTGTTATTATTGATTGCTTTTTTGTTTTTTAATAAAGTGTTGTTTTAATTACACTTATATTTGCGTATTTCATTCTCCCCGAATGTAGAATGGAATAAAAAAATTTTTATTCAAATAAAATTTTATAAAAAACTTTACAAAAAAATTGTTAAAATTTTATATATTTAAATACAGCTCTAGTACTTTAAAAAAAAAATAACGAAAAATCTTTTTTTTGAAAAAAATTAATAATTAAAATCTTAATCCTTAACTATTCCATTTACTCTACCTACTGAGTACAACCCACTTTTTTGGATAAATAACTGATTTAGAAAATGCAGTTTTCAAAAAGTTATTAAATTTTTTACTGCTAGTTATACAATTAGCAGTTGTAAGTAAAAATTCTGCCTCAATAAAAATACGCTTCTTTTGAGACCCAGGTTGACTTTTGAATAACTTTTTTTTTCGATAATATTAGAGATTTTACTCCAAATACTAAAGATTTCAACTCAAATATCTTTACAACTTGACGTGATGGTGAAAAATGAATTGCATATTTGTGATCAAAATGAGAAACGCTATTAAAAAAACTAATTGTTTGCTCGGCAACAGAAAAAAAAATTTTTTTGTTGACCTGTGTAATCAATAATTCCAAATAAATAAAATTAAGAAAGATGATTATATTAAGAAAGATGTAAATGGATGTGAAAAAACTAAAAAAGTAAGTTTTTAAAACCAAAAATAATAAAACTTTATTTATAACGGTCCTTCATATATATTTCATATTTATGAAGAACCTTTTTTTTTTTAGGTACCTACTTTTTATTAGGCACCCCTTGGATATCTGCCCCCTCCCCCCTCTCGATGGCCCTGATAATAGAATTAAAATATATTAAATTTTGTAATGATTGATTAAAATACACACAAAATAACTTTAGAAACAATTGTTTCTATACGTCCGTAATTTTTCACAGTCGGCTTGTCATCTTTTTGAAAACAACATTTTACATTTTAATTAAGCTTTCAACTTTTTTGCTATGAATATTTTAATGAGATTTAAGTAGATTTTAAGTTATTTAAATAGTGTTTCCATTGAACGTGTGTATGAAACATTTTCCCACGGTACTTGATCCACAACTTTTTGATATATAAAAACCGAATCCATTTATAAATATCTTCCGTAAAATCCGTTTCGTCGTGAAGGTAAAGATTAAGTTCTTTGCAAACACGAAACCATGGAAGAAAACTTTCATAATCTTTTTTTAATATCAAGCAATTTCGGGTGTCAATCCACAATCCTATAATCTTTTTTTTTGGTTCCCAGCCATCAATTTTAATTGGATGAGAAAAAAAAACATAGCGAACGTTTGTGGCACATTCAATGATAAGATTTTTTTCATCCTCAGAAAAAACGTCTTTATAAACTATTAAACACTCCAACTGTTTCCCCAAACTCTTTGCATTTATAAATTGTTTTATAAAATAGATTTGACATGATACTTCATAAAAAGTTTTTCCATTATCCAAACAAATACTCCACTCATGCTTATCTATTATATCAATTATTGATGTTTTTACGTCTTCTTTGATGATTGCTTGAGATTCATAAAAACATTCCATAAATACTTTTTGAGTTTCAAAATCAACTAAAGAAAAAAAAATTATTTTCCTTTGTTTTATATTTTGGTTAAACTCCATTACCACCTTCCTGAAACACAAAAGTAAACACTATTTTAATATTACATTGATACAAAGTTTTTATACAAAGGTATTTAAACACAAAATGTACAGAAATAACTCATTAAAATATAAATATTTTTGCTACAAAACCAAAATTATTGTTAAAGGTTTGCTTTTACAATATATACAGTCGACAGTATGAGGATACTCCTTGTGTCATTACGCTCTGGTATTCCTACTGTCACTGTGATCTTCATACTCAAAAAAAAAAATGCTTAAAAATATGTTAAAAATGAAAATGCTCCAAATGTCTTATCAGTTTAAACTTTGCTAACGCAGAAACGTATTTGTATCATAAATACGATTTTAAACAAAATATTTGAAAATATGCTAACTTATGTTAAATTATGCTAACTTATGTTAAATTATGCTAACTTAAGTTAAATTATGCTATATTTTGCTAACTTAATGACTAAAAACATTATAAATCACAAATTCAAATTATGAATCAGGTTTTATGTACTTCATTAAAAGCAACATATTGTTATAGCTGTACAAAGGGTTACGAAAATAAAAGTTATTTCTCAAATTAATTTGAAAAGCGCGATAACAACTAATCTCCATCTTTTTCCATTAAAAAAATTGTTACTAACCATTATAAAATTGTATTGTTAACTTAACAAATAAAAATTTTTACAAATAAAAATATCTTTGAACTATTACTTAAAAATCTTTTTTACTGCAGCATTTATTTTTAATAAACTACAAATTTAAAAAATAAATTCAATTTTGAATTAGAAACAACCTCAAATCCACAGTTTAAGTCTGTATTTTCATCCCCAGGGCCGAGAGGATCACTATTGCTGAGAAGGCTGCAAAATTTTATTTCAGATTCATGTCTAAAATAAAATTTTGGTTACAATTTTTATTGTGGAATACATTAAGCTAAGCGATAAAAAACGATATGCAACATATACAACAAATGCAAGCAAACAAAATTTTACTTAATATTTATTTATACCTAATTATTCATTACTATTTATATCAAATTTTTGAGCTGTTTGTGAGTTTTTATTTTTTATTTTATTATTTTTAAAAGTACTGTAAATAGGGGGAAAAGGGGTAAGATTTTCATATAATAACTCGATAAAATAACTTAAAAATGGATGAAAACGAAACTGTATTTACATCTTGTATATTAAAACGCTAATTTAGTTTTTGGTTTTTTTTAAATATTATTTAAAAAAATGTTTTTTTTAAAAATATTATTAAAGCAATTACGCATACTTTTTGTTCTTAAAAAAAAATACCTCGGTTTTTGTCATTCATAAAGGATGGTGTCCTTTGGGTGTAACTTTTTAGGAATAGTTTTTTAGTGACATTTATTTGTGTTACTTTAGGTATATAGTTAGTAGTTTTTAAAATTTTAAAAATTGGAGCATAATTAGTCATATTGCCCCGGCCACATGACCAGAAGACAAATTTATGAACATTTTATTTTAAATTTTATTTCAAATTTTTCTGCTTGCAAACTGAAAATTCATGAAGGTAATGAATCATTATGATATTATAAACATAATGACAAAGTATTATTGCTTCATTACTGATAGTTTTGCAATAATTCAGGGCTTTCAAAACTATCGCCATCTTGCCCTGTTTTTCCCTAGCAATAAATATAAGTAAAGTAAATAAAACAAATTTCATTTTTAAAATAATTTTTTTCTAAGATCAAACCTTTTGTATGTAATTTATTTTAAAATCTTTTTTAAATTTCAAACTTAATTAAATAAATTCATAACATTACCACTTACTATGTGGGAATACAAGAACTTCTTGTTCCATATTCCTACTTTTGATATAATTTTTGAAGTTTTAAACTCATTAAAAACTTTTTGACAAAGTAAATAATTAAAAAAAAAACTTACAATAGCCTACTTTTTCTTTTGGAAACAATTCTACAATAAAACGATTTAATTTTAAATCATTACTTTTTTTTAAGGCTAAACAAGATCAAAGGTATTGTAAATAAACTTTTACCATGTTGTATAGTTTAAGGTCTATCATAGAAAAAAACTTACCACAAATATTATTTAAGGATATTTTATTTGTGTTAAAAGAATTTAGATTTGTTAAAAATTTCAATAAAAAATTTGGATTTTCGTTAGTTAGCCCAAAAATCATTGGTAAACAGCTTCTAAGTCTTTTGTTGGCCATAATCTCTTTACCACTAAAATTATTGTATGCATATACAGAGGTACAAAACTCCATTATTGTTAAGTGAACAAACTGATAATGAAAGCCAAGGTTTGTTTCAATTTTTTCTATGAAGCCATCAAATTCACCTTCAACTTTATTAAAATCACTAATAATATTTTGAATTTCTTCTCTCGAAAAAATTACTTTGTTTTCATTGAACAAACAATACGCTATTTTGCAAATGTTGAAAACAAATTTTTTATTAATATCACTTTCCATCATCTTAAAAATAGTTTCTGTTTTTTTACTAATATGCTTTTGCAAAAAATGCAAAAAAATACTTGCATACAACTCTGTCATGTTTAAGAATGAATATTCATCTTTTTGTTTTGATTCAGAAATAATTTTACACATTAAAGATAAATAAAATGGAACGGTTGCCATAGATTTTGCAATAGAAAATTTTATAAAAACTTGTGTTAAAATGTCTTTTGTTTCTTTAGTGACATTATTTTCGATAAAATCATTTATTCCATTTTCATTAAAACCCATTACTTGAATTGTTAAATAGTTATTACACTGTATAAACATATTTTGGTACTGGTCTATTGCACTAACTCTACCAGAAATTAAAGATCTATATTTTTTAAGTTCTGCAAAAACATTCAAAATTGGGTATTCACATTTGTCTGTAATTAATTCATTTAAATATTTAAATTCATCTAAGCCATCAATGATAAACATAATAGAATGGCTATATATATCAAATTCCTTTAATATATCTTTGTACAAAACATTAAGTAATTCATTTATGTTGGAAATGTTTTGGTACTGGTTTAACTGCCTGCATTCTAAATAAAACAAAAAATATACATTTTTCCATATTAAACCACTTGACCAATCGAGCAAACATTTTCTAAGCAACCATGTTTTACCAATTCCAGCAATGCCAGAAATTAATATAGAAGATTCTTCTTTAACAAATTGTTTATATGGTATTGGCGTATAACTCATTTGTTTCTCTAAAAATCGTTTTAGTTCAACACCGTACCCAACATCTTTTTGAACATCAATTGCATCAACAACACATAGCTCTACAAATTTATTTAATATGTTTACTTTACAAGGTATTTTTGATGGTGGTCGAAGCTCATCAATTTTATCAAAAGTTTTAAGATAAAAGTTTTTCAATGCTAAACACACCTCCGATACATCTAAATACAAAAATGCAATCATAAACTCTCCACATGCACATTAACTCACAACAACACAGTAAAAGCTGTAAACTAATTCTAGTATAAATACTCTAGATATTGCATTCATAAAAAGATGAAGATCAAAAATATAGATGGATTTATGCTTTATAGATGTAAAACAGAATAAGATATAGCATAATAACAACCTCTTTCTAATGAAATACTTCTAGCAATCAATTTACCAGAAGTTAAAGAATCTAAACATAAAAAAAAAATTGTATATATATAAGGTTTAAATAAATTGAGATAACATATAAATAAATATTGAAATATTTTCAATATTAAGTTTTTATTTGACTTAAAGTATAACTTTTTTAACACTCATTTAGTTATACTTTTTAAAAAAGTTTTTATTTAATGTATTTAGTTTTTACTTTTTATTTCATCTAATACTCTTATTAAGTCAACCCTCTCCATATTTTTTAATGCTGTTGTTAGATCATCCATAGTTGGATTTTCATTTATTTCTATCCATTTCGTTAACATTTGATAAGCTTGATTTTCAATACCAATAAAGCTTTGCTCTATTATATCTAAGTAACTATCTTTAATCGACAAATATTTTCCAAGAGTTTTCCAGCTGACACCAACACTACTGCTAAATTTTAACTTGAATGGTTGACTTTGAAGAAATATTATATCCATTTTCACTCGAATACATGGAAGTAGTTTCTGTAAAAAAAAATAATGATAATAAAAAAATAAAATTTTTATAAAACTATATAACCTTGTCTAAAATTAAACTAATCAAAAAAGTAATTTAATCTAAAAAGCCTCAAATCTAATCTTCTAAGCCCAGATAGCTTTTTCCTTAACATTTATAGCCTTTTTTTAAAAGTTTTTGTATAAAGTACAAAACCTTATACAAAAACTGTTACTATATTTTTGAACAAAAGCTAATTTTAACACTTGGTGCTTTTGTGTAAAGTTACTACACGTAGTTTAATAAACCCAAAATTAGCACTAATTTGAAATCATTTAAAAAGAAATTAATTTAGTAATTTTTGATTCAAAATCACTTTTCGGAAAGTGATTTGAGGCTTTTTAAATTACTTAAATTACTTTTTTGATTAATTTAATTTTAGACAATCAATGCTGTTAAAAACGCTATAAATGTTAAGGAAAAAGCTATTTTGGCTTAGAAGATCAAGCTCAAAACCTCCAAAGTCAAGACAAAGGACATTGTAGAATTTATGTTTAACATGGAAAAAAAGTTTATGAAAACATATTATATTTCATTAGAAAGATAATTTAATCAGCTTTTTAATAGTGTATCTTGTCACTTTTTTGAAGTTGAGCAAAAATATGGTAGATGAAAAGGTGAATAGAAAATATGGTAGATGAAAAGGTGAATAGAAAATATGGTAGATGAAAAGGTGAATAAAAGATTTCTACTAACCTGCATAATTTTTTTTAAAAACACGGATTGCGACTCCGGTATTTACCTGGGGATGGAGCAAAATTATTTCTTTTATATATATTTATAATTTATATTACATTTTATGCCTAATATTTAAAATTTAGAAAAAATGTTTTTCAGCACGCTCTCCACTCCCCCCCCCCTCCCATTTACAGCGATCCTCGTTTAAATAACCCAATATTTATAAGAAAATACAAAATAATCTGACACCATATATATATATTTTTTAATTATATATAAATACATTTTTAATATAAAAATAATCTTTCATATTTCAAAAGCATCAAGAAAATGTCTTTCTTTGTCTTCAATGTCTTCTTCTGGAATATTAATATTACTTTTAGGGCATGTTAAGCCAAGGCACTCTTTACAAGATGATGTACAATTATTGCAATCCAGCTTTTTGACAAGTACATTTATTTCCATGTGGACCTTTGCAGACACATCTGATAATGTTCAAAATATCTTGAGGAACTGTTTCTATATCTGTCATAATTGGTGCATGCATTTGATTTTGCATTACCCATCTCCAACTCAATGGATCTAAATCAACGTCACTCAAATTTCGCCATACTTTTATTTAGTGATAAACTCTGAGCCCATGATAATATGCAGCTCTTGGTGATGGTGGTAATAGAGCAGAATCAATACTTGCACAATTAGATGCCACCATTTTATCATATTTATGTTTCCTGATCTGTAGATTGAAACAAATTGAATGAAGCAGCTCAAAAAAACGAATAGCTCTCTTGCCAATATCATCAGTAGAAATTTTTTCCTTATAGAGTAAATCTGCAGTAGATTTCAATTCATTTGAATTTTTCAACTTTGTAAAAATTGTAGTTTTGCCAAAGTTATAGGTTGCTGGTGTTGTATCATACCCAGTGAATGCGTGTGCATTATGCACACGCGTTAATTTTGAAATTATGTATTTATAATACATAGTTTAAAAGAGTATTATCACTTGTCTTTACAACTATCTGAATTTTATAATATACCCTTTGATCTGTAGCATTTTTTGTGTCAACGTTTTTAAAAAGATGCATTGAGGTTGTGCTCTAGTATGTACATGGTGTATCAATAGCCATAAAATATCAGTGTCATCCGAATAAATTGTGACTGACTCGACGTTGTCAACCTCAAGCGCTAGCTTAACAATACTGCATCACTGTGACAACAAATAACTTTAAAACCATTATTTTGTAACTTCAATGCTAAAGGCCTGACAAAATCATTTTTTTTGTAGTTACTTAGAAAAGTACTTCTTTCTGCTGGGCATGGATTGAGATCATTGATTTCAACTGTTTGTGATATCTTACCAGATATCTTTAGTGAATGACTGATAACAAAAATAATCGTGTTAAGTTAAAAGTATTAAGAAAAATTTCTGAAATTTCATACCTCATTTTTTTTTCCAATTATAGCACCACTATAATGCCCAATCAGCAAACTTAATTTATACAGGTTCTTTTACTGGTGATGTATAAATATTTTCAATGTTGAGTTTTGAATGAGTATGAATGTTTTTAAAATTGACTTTTGTGCTTATTTAAAGGAGGTGTCACTTCATGACACCTCCTTTAAATAAGGACGTTTGATATGGTGACAACGCATATTGAAAAGTAACTCTCCACTTCATTCTCTGGCTTTCTTTCAACAAAAACAATCATTCTTGGAAAAAGTGTTACTGGGTTGATTGTAACAATTTCGTCTAGAATAGATACGCAGAAGTATAAGCTCTGGAGTGTTTTTATTTGATTTTTTTGTTTCAAAGAATAATTTGTGTAGGTTTTAGCATTTAATTCTTTGTGTATTCCCAGTGGGCACCGGACCTGAAAAAGACGTCTTTGAACATTCAAAAGATGTCCAAAACGTTCAAAAGACTTCCAAAACGTGTATAAGACGTTTAAAAGACGTCTTTTTTACGTCCGTGCCCACTGGGTTGATGCACCTATTTCTTCAGATCGATCACAGGTAATATTTTTCTGATTATCAACCAAACCTGAGTTCAAACTAACAAGTAGATCTCCCACCATGAATGGGTTATGAGCAAAAAACCATGATTGTATTTTTTTAAAGTCGTCACTATCACGTTTCATTCTTCCAGGATACATTTCTTTATGTTTGTCAACAGACTAATGCGGAGATGTTAGAGTTCTTATTGCATTACTTACTTCTGCGCATTGATGCAAAGTTTTCATTTACACTGTCAACACATTTTCAGTCAAGCCTCTACCAATAACTCCACCTCTACCTTTCAGTGACTTCATTTGCTAAATTCAATTGCTAAATCAGTCCATATCCCTGACCATTTTATTTCGGTTCTTCTAACAGCGTGATTACCTCGATGTATTTAACAGTAAATTAGAGGGTGTTCTGTTTGTAATCATTAACAATCTAAAGGTAAGTCTGCACAATTTTGCATATTTATTGTGCCCTGTTACAGCAAAAAAATTGAGCATGCACTTTGTTGCAGAAATATTTAATGACCAAATATTTATTTTCTCTGCTCTAATAAACACTTGGACCACAATTACGTATTGTACATAATGTAACCATAAAGATAATGTTCGTGAGTTTAATGAAAGATAATCTTTTTTCTCTGTAAACAGTTTAGCAATCTAACTGCCAGATCATTATTTTCTTGAACACAAGGGTCTTCTGAATCATATATTTCAAAAATTTTGCTCACTATTATTCAAATCATCCCAAAATTTTTATAATATCAGTGAATTTATTGCTGATGCGCATGGCCTTGTATAGCGCGTGAAAATCCTTTTCCTGATTGCATGTGTCCTACTGTTAAAGGGGCATAGACTGTTTCGAGATCGCTTCTCAAATCACTTTCTTTCATCTTGCATCCAATTGAACCTAGAAAACCCATAAGTTGATGGAAGCCTCCAAAAAGAAAAAATATGTCTAAGTTTGTTGTAGAAACTTTTTCGTATGCTTTTATGTAAAGCTGCTGATCAAATGTTATAGATGACATTGTAACATTCACTTTTTTGGAGTAATCAATGATGAAGCAAAGTAGTGAATATAGGACTGTCAAATCAGTGGCACCAAGTGGAAACACTGGACCAGATGGAGACCACACTTCCGGAAAAGGTGTTATTTTAGTTTAAAACAGTTAGAATTTAACAAATAGTGTGATCATAGGAGTTTAATCTAAAATTATTTAGTTTAAATATTGGTTCATTGATTGTCTCATGTGATTTTGTGAAATCACATGAGACAATATGTAATATGTAAATCAATCGCAGGTAGTATAGCAATGTTAGATTTCTGTTTTACAATATTATTTGTTGCAGAACATGTGTAGCCAGACCAACTTGGATACGGATTTTTTAAAAGGTAGCCAATGTTTCATAGAAGATCAATAAAACAAGCTCGAATTTTTTCCTAAAATTCGATAAAACAATTAGTTTTTAAACTTTGTCTTTGCCACTCATTTGAGTGAGATGTTGTTTTGACGGTTAGCTGGTCTTATCCTTTATAACAGTATCAACATATTTAGACAAAATTTTAAAAAAGCCTACATCACTATAAATTTTTAGCTTATCAAAATAGCGACCAGAATTTTTGCCAGATTGAATAACATGATTCACAACACTTGATGAATTATTGCAGAGAACAACAACCCAAACTGTACCAGAATCTCTTTTACCGTTGGTGATTTTTAAGTCACTACAGGTAAAGAAATCACTTAAATGTTGACCTGCTTATAAAAATTTTAACCTACTTATAAAAATGTTGATCTGCTTATAAAAATGTTGACCTGCTTATAAAAATGTTGACATACTTATAAAAATGTTTACCTGTTTATAAAAATGTTAACCTGCTTATAAAAGTGTTGATCTGCTTATAAAAATGTTGACCTGTTTATAAATATTTTGTGTAAAAATTTAACAGTTTTAATAAATTTACAAGGGCTAGAGTGGTTAATTTTGGAGCGCTGGATGATGGCAAAGCACTACTTCGACTAAAAACTAAAAAATTTTTGTGTTTATAATAAAACTTTATGTAAAACTTTTAAGTTATTCGTTTTTAAAGAGATTAGAAACCTGTCAAAAACTTCCTAAAATTTATCTAGTTTCATTTCTTAAAAGTCGAGACTTTCTTTTTAAAGTTTATCTAGTTTCATTTCTTAAAAGTCGAGAAATTCTTTCTAAAATTTATCTAGTTTCATTTCTTAAAAGTCGAGACTTTATTTCAATATATATGTAAAAATTATTTTTGTATAGGTATTTAG